ATGGTTATCCACGAAAATTTATTAATAGGTGCAAAAGTCAGTTAATGCTAAGACCTCTTGTTTTTTTAGTTCCAAAGAAAAAAGTTCATATCAATTCTACCATATAGAGGCGAATCTAGCAGTATAGTATAGAGATTGAAAGCAGCCATGGAGAATGCCTATTATGCTGCTCAATTGGTTGTGATTGAAAAGTCTAAGGCCATGATTCCTAATAGACCCAAGCAATGCACTAATGATTAAGTCACATTCCATTGTATTTACCAATTTACATGTTTGTGTGGACACACATACATGGAGGAGTAACCGAATGTTGCAGTCAAGGGTCAATGAACATATGCCTAGATGGCTTCAAAATCAATGTTTGTCAGATGATCTGATCAATGTGGGAGGTAGAAAACCAGGTTCATCGATAGCGAAACATATAATTGAAACGGGACACAAAATTGACATTAATACAGCTTTTAGAACGTTGTATAGAAATTGTCAAGGACGAATTCTTAAGTTTATTGAAGCCTTGGCTATTCGTAAATTTAAACCCCCATTATGTGTACAAATGCAATTTGTCGTAACCTTGAATTAACCCTGGTAATCCTCAAGTCATTCTATGGCCTAGGATAACGCGACAATTTCTTATTCTTTCTCTCCCCATTTGTTACTTTTTTACTTGAACTCTCATTTAATTGAGCTTTATTAATTTTCATATAAAAACGCCTTGATAAGTATATGTGTGATCGGATTGTTCGAAATGTATGGAGCAAATACATCACATGTTCATCAGATCAACTCCATCTTCTCATTGTTCTATCGAAGTAATAAGATTGTTGTGTGAATATAATATGTAATAAGGGTATAATAAAGGTGTTATCAAGGTAATTACGATAAACGGATTGAGAATGATGGATGTGAAGATTAAGATAGAGATAACCAAAAATAATGATAATAAGGAAAAAAATTAAATAAATAAAAATAAAGGAAGGGAGTAAGAGGTCTATAATATTCAGTCTAGGTATCCGGTGATCCAGTCGTAGACCAAGGTAAACAAAGAGGCTGGATATATTTTTATGGATACATAAATTTGGTCTTCTGGAGTTGATCTGGATGGCTTCGGCTATGTAAAGCAGTCGTAATCTAGCTCCGTGAGGTAGATATTTTGGAACTTGATGTAAAACAGAGAAAGCTTCCTCGATTTTGATATGATGTTCACTATCTACCAAGTGAAAAAGAATGGTGCTGTTAATCGATTTGTTAACTCCTTTTCCCAACCATGCTGGTACATGTTCACGAACACGCAAGGATAAAGCCCTCTGAGTACGGCCTATGTAACTAGCTCCACAGGAGCAGTTGCACTGGTATCCGATTTATTACGCCGATGAATTGGACTGTTGTGACTTTATGGCACGGCTAGTTATCAAGCAATCTATTCGCCAATCAAAATACGACTTATTTTCGCTTATACTGTACTAAACCAATGGCGTGCGACCGGTCTGATCAGCCTAGCGTCCTACTGGTCCGTTGCTTACCTAACCCGTCCAGCTGAGTCCAGAATGCTAATAACAGCCTACACTATGAGAATCATTCATTTCAGATATACTGGGTTTATATATCAAACAAACAGACTGCGATGCACCATAAAACAGGAAATAATATTCGTACAAAATATTGCCAAAAAAGCAGTGAACGTGGGAGACAGTAATTAATAAACTGAGTATAGATCGTACAATAATAATCTATAGGTTAGAACGAAGCTTATAATAAGGGGTATATATATATATATATATATATAATCTAGCTATTAAATAGTTATACAGTAAGAGTATATAGATAATATTAGTTCATTAATAGGTCTCCGAAGATACCCGTAATTTGATCTTCACTAGGATATAACATGACCGGTATTTCAAGTTCTACTATATCATACTTTGGCATTCATTAGTCCTTTTGAGTTCCATATTACCTAGTAATGTTAACCAACTTAAATCTAAATGTGGTGTTTGTATGAACTAAAGATTCTTTTGTACTTGATGATTTTCTAATTTCAAATTCCAAATACAATGCTTTCGATCGTGCTTACTTAGTTCTATTTGGCCTTAAGTACTTTATTTCTGGGATTCCCATTTCCTATAATAATTCAAATACTTCTAATCATTATAGTAAAAATCCAATTTTTTTCAGCAATTCTGTTCAAATCTTGTCTCATGTTAATGAGATGTAATTTACTGGGGTTATATGCAGTGTTTTAAGGCCTTAGTAACTGTAGTGTTTGTTGTATCTACTGTCTTTTTCCCATCCATTTAATGGAGGAATGTTACATAATCGCTATGTGATATTCATATTTTCATTTTTACAGCTTCTGATATTACCAGTGAAAGGCTGCTGTTGTAGCAAACAAGAACACCAGTGGGGACAATCAAATGTATTTGACACAAAATTACAGAACTTGTTGATAAAATCTAACAAACAAATATTAAATACGTAATTTGCAAACTGTCCATCAATTGTCTCATAATGACTTAGACTTCATTGTTCTTGCGTTTTCATACAAATTGCATTCTGTTCCCATTCTTTACTGTTCGATTATCTTGTTTCTCTGCTGCCAGACATTCTGTTGTCCACGAGGGACGTCATATACTACTCATATCGATATAAGTAGCACACACCACACCATGAACATGGTGTAGAGCCAGTGAAATGCCACTGAGCCCTAGCCAGATCATCTGGCTCACTGAATATCAAACAGACCATCGATCCCTGCCAAAGTCTAGCACAACCAACGCGCAGTTAATCGTGCGCAATGGACTGGCATATGCGGTGGTCATCACAGTTTCGCATGTACCTACTTTAAACAATATATTCCTGTAATAAAGTTCTTTGTGTTGTACGCTCCTCAAATCACCCATAGTACCTTGATACGGCCAAGGGGTAATCCAATTTAGGTGCTGACCGCAAGGTGTGACTTCAACGTTAGCTGTTGGTCACATTATTCCTGTCTAACTCGAGCAGGTCCCCAATCCTGCGACAGAGAAATAAAGTGCTTAAGGCCAAATAGAACTAAGTGAGCACGATCGAAAGTATTGTATTTGGGATTTCAAATCAGACAGTCATCAAGTACAAAAGAATCATTAGCTTATACAAACAGCACAACCATCACAGCCTAACTTGAAATCTAAGGTTCTGTAGTCGATTGTGTGTCTTTCACTTAAGTTCATTGTATGTCTGTCAGATTGTGCATTGCATACCAACTCTATGATCTAGAATATACTTATTAGTAACACAATATAATCCCAATTCAGCGTACTTTAAACCAAAGTTCATATTTGAATGTTGTTTGCTTTTTACTCCATTCGGGACTATCACTAATTATTGATATCATTACGAAATTCTGACTGGCATCTCTGCAAACATGGATCTTAATAATCTTGGGAAGTTGCCAATTGACAGATCACTGTGAGAAGCGGATATTTTGTTCAAGAAACAACTTAGTAGTCGGGCCATTGTTCTCCTCTTAGTGCCCATCAGTGCTCGTGTTAAAGAGCCCTACATCAACCAAAGTTTTCATTCCTTTATACGTCCATTCTTTTGATAACATCCTTATCAAAGATCTAAACTTACAGCGTTCTCAGGCCGTGAAAAGTTGGAAAACATTTGTCTTTACACTTAAGCATAGTTAAAGACCTTATCATCTTGAAGCGTAGATTGATTTTACATGGTTTTAAAGTCAAGTCACTTAAGAGACCGAAGAAACGAAACAACGATTTTGAAGGATGTAACACTTGCTTAGAATAGACTTAAAAGATACATTTTTACGAGTTTCGTGAGATGAAGTTTCGAGTGAGCTTACTACTACCGATTCACTGTTCTGATGGTTTAGATACGACTTCCTACTTGTTGGACTGATGTTCTTACCTGATACAGTTCAGAATGTTATAAATCAGACTGTTAAAGGTTCTAGTGGTACTGAATCTTATCACGATTAAATCGTAGTTCATACTGTAGAACTGTTATGTGGTCTTTGGAGTTACTTGAACTCCTTAGTGGCATAAATATTTCTGTAAGGCCATAGCAACAACTAAGTTGTCGTAGACCATCATCAAAAGTCATCCACGAGGCCGAACATCTGCCAAACTAGAAGATTTACATTGACCGTTGGATGTTTGATAAAAAGTAGTAAATATCAGCGCACATCTGTGCGGTCGAATCATAGAGATTGTATGGATCTGCCCTTCAGGAGTAGTCACTGCAAATCCTTCCTCTTGATATTCAATTCTTTTTCTACCACCATGCGGAATATGTATTTTCACAAGTACTCACTAACGATTACACTGACTACCACGACAGACATAATCAGCAGACTTCGACGCAATATTAAATGGATTAAGTGCTCAAATCATGGTAAGTACACAATAATGGATTAGATCTGTTAGTTTAGTTGCACAAATAAGTGCACTAGTACCGATATTATACATAAGTTCCACAAATTCCTTCACGTGCCTAGTTCAACCTAATTGTATCAACTGTCTAAACTATTTTATAGAGGCAGAAAGTTTAAACGTGAGGTGAATCGTCTAGTTTCACTTATTCAAGCACTAAGAATTCCCCAGAATTCAGTAAATTGATTGATAGTCTTTGATGTTACTACAGATGAAACATATATGTTTACAGTTTAATTTTCTCTGAGTCAGCATGGAAACAATGACACAAGGACATCAAGAAAACTTTGAAGTTCCTAGACCATGAAGCTTTTTTCGGGTCAGTTTGACCAGCTGAACACTACATCGTCACTATAGTAGCAACACCACTGTGGATAGGTGCACTCCTGAAACAGAATGGGAGAACTGTAACTGCTACTACGGAGCTAATATTATTTTCAACAGTTTCTTGGACATTATGTGTCTTCTTTGTCTTACGTTTCAGTTGTGCTTTAATGTTTGAACACTTTCTCTCAAGGTTATCTGTACTTTCGTTTGGGAGGCGCGTTGTCCAAATTACGAAAGACCACAGCAATGTCCAACAAGCGTCCTTCATTAGTCCCTCAGAAAGGACCTGGTTCTTTTAAAAAACCAAGGTAGTTTTTGTACAGTGATTTTGTGCAACGTTTAAGCCTACCAAATGTAGAAATCGTGGTAGTTTCGAGATGGAAATATTTCAGCATTAGCATCGAGAGTACACGTGCGTGTAACCAAACTCATATGTGATGGACCTAACATCATTAAAAATTAAGGGTTATTTAGTGCTTAGTACCAGTCTTGTTGAAAGTAAGGTCTGCACGTCCATTGGAAAACCCTTGTGTGACTGGAAAAATGCATCTTGAGTCCAAAAATTTTTGTTACTATTATTATTAACTGGGGTTAGGGTTGGGAGTTAAAAGTTAGGGTTAGGATTTATAGTTGATTTTTCATCACGAACTGACAATTATGATGTCGAAATGCTGTTTAACCTAACCAGTGGGTGAACTAGTCCCCAAAGTCCAAAGCTCGTTTTCTTTTATCTGATTGATTCGCGCACAAACTATTACCTCGCCTGTTTTTACTGTGCTAAATAATATGGCTTGATTTGGGTTCTCATCTCGTGACACGATTTGACCCTCTTTATCTTTAAGGCTCGTACGAGGCAGTCAGTAAAAGGGTGTTTCGAATTTCTTGCAATGCAGTTGAACCGACGCTTTTACAGTATTAGACCAAATCCTAAGTTTCTTCGACAGTGATTTTGGTTGGATAGTGTTCCATAAGTATTATGGTGATCAGTAGTGAAGGTGATGCACCAAATCCAGGTTCGGCAAGTAAATCAATACAGTTACTTAAGCTTACAGCAGGTGAATCAATCTAACCTGACCAATGTGTCATTGTGTGATAAGTCACAGATTTGTTGGTTAATAGGCTTGCTTAGGTTATGATTAATTATATCAGGATGAATTATACAGACTAGTATCAGTTTGACAGTAAGATTCACTTCGCATTAACTGAAATGTTCATTTCTCTTCAACCAGAGGTAACCACGATGATACCCCAGAGCCCTCAAAGTTCGAGCAGGAACTAATGTTGTTGGATGACATCGAGACTGAAGATATAGCTTTGGTGGACGAAAGTTCTGCTTTGTCTCATCTAGACTTTCTAACGAATTCGCATTGGCCAAGACGTAGGTTGGAGAAGTTGGATCCAAATAAGGACAGTATTATTTTCCAGCAGTTTGATGTGTCACATTATAAAGTTAGTTTAAAAAAGAACATTTTATTGTACTCCAAACATACCTTTATCGAGTTAAAGAGTTGAAATTATTGTAAATAGTTTGATTTATTAGGCGATTGTAATTTCTACTTTGTACGTTCATACCACCAGTCAATTAACACACCACTCGTCAAATCACTAAATTACTTGAACAGAAGACAATTTCCATGCTGTTTGTATTGTTTTTCATATCATTTCAGCCTGATAGATTATTTCTTTATTGCCGTCATCAATTGGTGTTTTGAATAGCTTTAATTACTTTCTTCGATTCAGTTATTCAGTAGCTATATGTGACTCGTTTGCGATCTTTAGTGTTGAGGATTTGCATGTGTATAATGTTGTCTTCATTTTTCATTATCTTGTAGGTGTTTTAGTGAAATACTTTGCTTAGTAACTGTCGTTTCAGTGATATGTAGTATAAATTCAGCCTTTCTGAGTTTTATACATGTTGACAGTCATTTACTGTTATGACCTTGATTTTCTGCCCATTACTTTGTATGTACTACAAAGAGTTCGTCGCAAACTAGGTTTAGGGATTGATATGCTAGGTCACGTAGTAGCTAAGAGACTCGTAACGCATGAGTTTCATTTATGACTGAAAGGCCTTGAGGTTATAGAGAATAGTTATCGTACAACTGATTAGTTGGCAAGCGGCAAGAAAAGACGATTTAGCAGGAACTATTGGAATGAGTAATAACACAACTCAGTAAGTTGATGCGAATTCAGGGTATTCAACAATAAGTCACAATCCCACGTAACAAACTCGGAGTCACTTTGATGCATTGAATAGATTTGAATTCCAACTGTCGAGTTGTAAGCAAGAAATTCAAGTTATCTATTTCTTTATTGACATCCATGTCTTCTCACTAACTCTTGTACAAACAGTGCGATTCAGAAATTACCCATCACACATTTTATTCTGATTTATCATTATAATCTGAGCAGGTCTGTAATTTAGAGGCTAGACCACTTTGGGTTGGAAATCTTTTTTCTACATCTGCGTTACTTCCTTTCGCCTTATAAAAATTTATCTTACCATAGTGAATTAAAGATAAATGTTCCAGGTCTAGATGGTTGTGTTCATTCCTGAGAATATGTAACGACATTAATCTGTAGTCAAACTCAAAATGTACATCTCAATGTTTTACAGTCCGATAACTTGATATGTATTTACTTCCCTAGTCCTGGGTTTCTATTTCATCCATTGAAGGCTATACGTTATATTTTATATACAGCTTGTGTATCTGCTCAGTGCATGAAAGTTAATAAGGCTGATGGCTCATGTGGATAGTGTTGTTATTTTCTTTCGGCACACATGCCGAACTACAATATGTTTTCGGTGTGAAATGATGTGATTCAGAAATCCTGGCACTTGTGAAACGTTAATCCGATAATACGATAGAGTAGTGGACTAGGATGCTTGCCATTGATCATTCATTCTAATTCACACTGTTCCCGCTATTCTCCAGGTACCTCGAGTTGAGTGTGTCGGCCGCTTCACTTATCTTGGAAGTCTCATCAGCCCTTGTGGTCTGGTGCGTGACGAAATCTCAGCACGGATACAGAAGGCTCGACTAGCTTTTGCCAACTTGCGTCATTTATGGCGTAGGCGAGATATCCGTCTATCAACCAAAGGACGTGTTTACTGCGCAGCAGTTCGTTCCGTCCTACTTTATGGCAGTGAAACATGCCCGGTAAGAGTAGAGGATATCCGTAGGTTACTAGTATTTGATTATAGGTGTCCTCGAAACATTGCTCGTATATCATGGGACCATCGAGTAAGTAACACAGTTGTTAGGAAACGGGTACTAGGTAAGGATGGCAAATCAATTGATGAAGTAGTGAAACTTCATCAGTTGAGATGGCTGGGACACGTGTTACGTATGCCCAACCACCGACTACCTCGACGTGCTATGTTCAGTGGTATAGGAGTAGGTTGGAAGAAAGCTAGGGGCGGCCAAACCAAAACATGGCACAAGTCCATGAAGTCACTGACAAGTGAACTGAGTCATGTTGGTAGGTGTAGACTACCTGGTTGGGGACCGCGAGATGACAGCAACCGATGGTTAGCGACTCTGAATGACATGGCTCAAAATCGTTTGCAATGGCGCAGGTGCATCCACTCTCTGTGTTCTCCCAAATTCTAATCTTCTGAATTCTTCATGTCCCTTTTTTCCTCTTTCCAAATTTCTTTCACTGGATTATACTCTTTAAATAACATCTCCAAACCCTAATCTTCCCGATTACTGCTTATACTCTTATTACCTCTACCACTACGGGATTTGAATCGACAAGTGCATCTCTGTGCTAATGTGGTGTGGCAACTTGAACTGATGTACGTACGTACGAAGTTCTACGTTGTTACTGACTGACTGATTGACCTCGAGTTAGGAGCCGAATTTTAATTGGGGCTTGGTTACTTTTCACTTATTTAATTTCAGTTTCTATTTCACCTACTTATAGTGCCCTATCTCATTTTTTCTACATATATATTGTATTACATAAAAATACACTGTTCTTCATTATGTTTACGAAGTTGATTCGCTTAATGTAATTTGACAAGAATTCTCACAATAAGCAGCGTACAGTTTACCGTAGAACCTTACCTGGACGGTCAAAATTACCCATAGAATTTTCACAAATTCTTTTTCATCAAGATATATTACTGTAATAAAAATGATTTGAATTATGATGTCTCTTTCTACCTTTGTCAAGTATTCACCATTAGACAAATAGTCCTAGAGTAGGACATAATTTTCCAAGTCATATGCTGTTTTCATACATGCTACACTGTGTCTGGAACTTACGAAATGTTATGTATTTATGTATAGTTGACGAGTTATCCAGTCGACTTAACAAGTAATATTATTAGTTAGTTGCTAAGAAACAGGTGAGATATATTTCCTTAATAAAAGGTTTTGAAGTTCAAATAGATTTTGAATGATGCTTTTGTTTTCAAACAATTAATTTAAAATGTATTGTTGATTGATCTATTTTCTTTAAGCGTACTTAGATCGTAATTTTAAATTGACTGGAGCGGTTAATACATATGTTACTCATCCCTAACCATCCATATGGAATGTCGTTTGACAATGGAAATATTCATTGTTCTATAATAATCTGTTGTGTTCATGAATGAAGTCTTTTCTTTCATGTTAAACTCGTTTTGTATTGCATGTTACTAATACGGATTTGCGTAGTTTTCTTTTGTAGTCAGAAAACTATTTCACAAGGTTGTAATGATTTATCTTGTTTTCCAGGGTGAACATCTAACTGGTATGCCTGGTGCTACTCAAGGTCCTGTACCAATTATACGTTTGTTCGGTATAACTGAAAAGGGTCATAGTGTATGTGCGCATGTGCATGGTTTTCTACCATATTTCTATGTACCAGCACCGAAAGATTTTTCAACGGATCATTTGAATGCTTTTCGTGAAGCCTTAAATTCTATGTTATTAAAAGAGAAGTCAAAAGAGTTTGAAGGATTGCAACACCTCGTGCTTAGAGTTACATGTGAAGAGAAACGAAGTAAGTCATTTTAATTGATATTTGAAATGCTATTCCTCTATTTTCCATCCTACTGCGTTTTCTTTTTGAACGTTACAACAGTATTTGATACTTGCTTTTTTGATATTTCTAAGCTTTTTATTTAGTGATAAAGTTGACTCTGAATGTTCTGATTTTCTTGGACGTTATTAGCTAAGAACGTTTTTCTTTTAAATCGTGATCATATTAAGTGGTTTAGGCAGTCAGTTATACTCAACGTTAACCTTGACACATGTCCATCGGTTCAAGTTGCGATACCAGATTATCACGGCAAGGTAAAATCATTTCAAGACTAATCACAGAGTAGTGGGATTAGTAATATTATCAGTAGTAGTACCAGAAATGTAGTGAGCCGAAGCTCAGGTGGGGAAAACTGATTTATTGTTTAATGCAGAATTACAGTGTCTTGGTCAAATATGGAAACCATACATTAAATACATTATTTCCACATTTTTTCGCGTTGTCCCTTACATACTTTATTATTCCTCTAATTCTGTTGTTATTGTGGTTGCTCTCCAATTTTCTTTATGTTCTCTGCATTCCAATCTTCCGCTAACGGGCATTCCACTTCCTAATGTTCTTACATACCACTTATGTCGTTCAGCATAAGTAGCATACACCGCAGTAGTAGGAAAGATTTAGTACAGAAAAATAAAGTATACGATTTCAGGATTCGAGTTATTAAGGAAGGGTGAGTGAACCTACCCCATTGAGAACGATCCTAAGAAATGTCACTCAAAGCCTTTAATAATTGGTACGATAATCACTCAAATCCCAACCAGTTAGGTTACACCTATTAACATGGCTCAGTTCAGTTATCAATGACTTCAATTACTGATACCATACATTGATTTGATACTCCTAACTTTATTTCAACCAACTCCCACACCAGATAAGATCGCGTGTCGTCGATATAGGTGGTAGTTGGATCTACTCAATACACTCGCCAACAAGCTCATTTAATAAAGATCACTACCTCATGAATCGATTTGTCGTACGTACGTAGTACGTTATACGTGACCTCAGAATTGCTCACTGGTTTGTCTGAAAAGATCTGAGTGATGCTTGAAAGAGAGTTATGATCGAATACTCTTAGTCTATGAAAATCCTCGATTGTAGGTGGTTATGTTTGACAGTAATGAAATAGAACGAGTTAAACTACTATGCTATGATTTGGTCCTTTAGTTGCTTACAATTAAATGTGTTGCAACCATCTCACAAATCAAATATTTTAAAATGATTCATTCCAGATACAGACCATCATGCGGTCTCTGTCTACCAATAAACCATGTTGGATAAAGTGACAATATTTGACTCTGGGTAAGGGGACATATTCGCTGTGTTTAGTCTTTACTCCTACGATTGATACTAACTACTATTATTATGATTCCAACTTATTTGTCATGCATTCCATCAGTTTTGATTTTGCTGTATCGATTTAGTGTTGCGACTTTGATAAATACCCATGTATACCAGATTTTATAGCTGACCGACTGATTTATATTGTTAGTTGATGATAGATATAGAATGGCATAAAACTCGACATCTTTAGTTAATAATATTTATTAAACATATTTATGAAGTATGAGAAGTCTTGTTTTCAAATACCCTGAAGGCCATTTCTTTTTCTTTGTGATACTCTTCAATTTTGTACGGTTATTGTGACAGAACATAGTTTTGAGTGGTTGACAGTAGTCGACAAGAACCCCTAGATCAAGACCTCATTACGTGAGGGTTCAGATCCAACAAGAAGTCATAAGTTTCCTCAATACTGCAGGTATGCCTTACTAACAAGTACCAGCTAGCACAAAACCTAGACCCCCCCCCGACTACATCGTACAATGCAATACACACAATATCGACTAACTTAGAGTAGTAGTTACACCCTAGCTTAATTCATGGAATTCGATCAGTACCAAGGATAAACGTGGTACTAATTCACTTCTCAGTGGTCAAGCAATAGTGAGCTACCATAGTTTTGTCATAACATATGTTAGTTTAAGCGCTCAATAACACAAATTGTGATTTCCTGATAATACGAGTTGTTTAAAACCAATATTTGTTATAACTTCCATAGATGTATATGGTTTTCATGGAAATCGTAGTCTACCATTTCTTCGTATTACTTTGGCATTGCCACGTTTAATTGCACCAGCTAAACGTATATTAGACAATGGTTTATCATTTGCTGATTATTCATTACAGGTTAGTTTATAGTTTAAATGGTTTCTTTTTTTGTCAGTGTAATTTATTTACATGATTATCTACTTTTTATAATGCCCAATTAGTATCATATCTGTCTCCCCAATCCCCTTATTAAGTGAGATAAGGTTCGAAACTTTTTATTCGGAATTCAAATATCAAGTATAACCAGCAGTCGAGTTATCTTTCTATCAGGCTCAGAACCTTCAAACTAATAGGAAGGGGTTATTTTTGGCCCCATAGAGGAAAAATAAGTGTTAACGAAAAAAAGTTCAGTTTTTCTTGTAGATTGTTTATACCATGAAAATTAACACCACACTTAAATCATATCCTTAAATTCCTAATCCTGAAGTATTTCTTAACAAGCTGGCTCTATATCGGCGAGACTCTAATTTGTGGACGAGCCAATCAGAGGCGTTTTAAAGATTTCAAGGTTACGGCCACAACTTCAGTGCTTAATGCTAACGTACGATCGGTTCACAGGGAATTTTGTACAAAACGTGATAATTGAGCGGCTATAACAAATAAAACGGCGGGACTATAATTTGTGGACGAATCAACCAGGTATAAGATAATAGATCTCGGATTTTAACGCGAAAGCCTTTCATCCATTTGGCTAAATAAGTTTCTGGCATTATAGCTGATGTCAGTTCATGATGAAAACCCCATATATAATTCCTAACTAAGGCAAATTACGACAATTATTGCGAACTGGATAATAAAAGCACGAGTAACACTGGCTGCAGCCAGGTACTACAATATATACGGATGTTTGGAGAGCGTACAGACTCCTACATAGACTTCTTTATGTGCATCGTGTCGTTATCCACAAGTAGCATTTTGTGCACTCAACAACCGGAGTGCACATAAGCAATATTAAAGCTATGCGGTCGAGGCTGAAAGAGTATTTGAGACTTTACCATGGCTCGAGAGGCCGACTATTCTGTAGTCGTATGGATGATTTCCTCTACTGGATGCATTACGATTTTAGAACGTCTGAACCTCTTTCTAACCCTGACAAGTTTTTGAACCACGTATAAGAAGTGTATCCACTTTATTTCCTTGGTTTTGTATAACATATTTTTACTATATACTGACTGTTTGCTGATTGGCTAATATTTCTCAAGGTTACTTAGGATTCGTTCAAAGGTCGTCCATAAATTAGGGTCTCGCCAAAAATTTTTTTTGCATTAAAGCTGATGTCAATTCATGATTGAAACCATAACCCTTAATCCTAATCCTAACCAAGAATAGTTTGGTTGTTCCTTAAAAATTTATTTACGTCCTTTTAAGAGTTCCAGCATATGGACACTATATATTCATTAGAACGAGTTTATGTGTCATTGTTCTTTCGATTTCAAGTTAGATCAACTTGTAGACCACTTTAATCAATTCATTATTTATGCGAAATCGGTTTACACTTTGTAATTTTATTATATTCTTTACCATAAACTATTTCGCTTAGCTGTTTTCTAGTTGACTAGTAGCTAACTAGAAATTCGTCATGGTTTATTTAATCTCATCCCCATGTTTATTCCGGTTCTGATTACCATTGTGAGATGCTTGACTGAGTTTAAAGAAAATCTCTGTTTGAAATTCATTTCATATCTTTCCGCCGGTAGTAGCGATTGTTTAATAATTAAAGCACTGTTTTCAGTAGCTTGGTCACACGTTCAAACTTGCATCTCATCTACTTCATTTAGAGCATAACCAGGTAGTTTTACAAGCCCTCAATATGTCCAAAAGCTTATACCGTAGATTTATACATGATAAATTAGTTATGTTAATCAATATTAATCAATTGATGTCTACAACCATACCAGGTTTATGTGTTAATCAATTGCCCGTCATCTATAGTCTCTCCTAATAATGAGCTGGTTTGTGGACACTTTGGAGTAAATCTTTGCAAAGTTATAAACTTAATTTATTTCCCATTATATATAACATATTAGTGTGTAACCTGTTCTGCTGTACGTATCTTGGTGATGTCTTGTATGGGGTAATCCATGTTGCAATAGATCAAATTATTTTAATACCATGTTAAAGAATCATATGTAGAGTATATAAGACATTTAACACCATGATCTTTTATTGGTTTGATGGTGTAGTAAAGGCCATAGCAGCTCACCTACATTTGAGTTTGTATATGTTTCGTTTTTTTAAGCCCTTCAATTAACTTATTTAATAGGCAGTGTCGTTAGGTCAGTAAGAATTCGTCTATAACTTTGTAGTGTAGTAGTATTATTATCATGTTTGTATGAGCATGTATTGTTGACCACGTGTTACAACCCACATGCATACTTCTCTTACTAGTTGATATATTAGTTACTTAGATCTCTCAATGACTTATTCTCTTTCATGTATATATGTGATTTTTTCAGATCATAATAATTCATTCGTTCGCTTGTATTTATTCGCATTCGCATTTATATTCATATTCCTTTTGTGTGTTTGTATTTTTTTGATATGCTCTGTCCAATAATAAACTGTAGTCAACACTTCGTATTGTCTATTGAGACTTATCCATTGTTGCGAGTTATGAAGTAATATTTATCAGGATGAATGGTTTACAAGTTATTAGGAATTATTTCAAAGGTTTTCGGCTATAAGATATTTCAAATTCCAAACATTTGTGTACTTTTTCACCAGTTGATTCAAAATTAAGATGTTAAGAATTACGCAGAAAAGTTTAGGATCAAACTATGATAGAAATCCATCAACCGAATAATTAACTGATCTTCAATAATTTGTAGATGTGTCTAACTTTTCATGTTAATTAGTAACCAAGATCAAATCAATCAGTCCTAATCAACATTCAGTTTGATACAAATGTGCGTTAATTCCTCAAGAGAGATGACTTAATATTAGTATTACTAGTATCGATAATGATTACCCATTAAAGAATACTATTTGAATTGAAGGACTAAATTCTCTGAATAAAAAATACGAGACTATCTTGAAGTCCAAGTCTTGTGTGAAGATAACAAGCGAATACATTTATTCCATTATTACTGATCCAGAGCCATGCCACTCAAAGTTATCGCTCAGACCATAAGTAGACAGTCTGCATCTACCTACATAGCGCAATTCCAATGATCAGTGACTTTATAGACTGATGTAATGTCTTCGTTTGGATAGCTTTATGTTACTCCCAACCTACTTGTAGGAAACAATTTCCCACAGATTCAACTCTAAGCTAATCCCTAGACTGTCGAGTACAAAGTCTTGGTTTAGCCAAAGTCAGAACAAGTAAGCTGTTTGGCTATATAAACTTTATCTGTTTCTAAAACATAAATTAACATCGTTAGCGTACAAACAAGCAGTACGGTCTATTAATACAGAGAAAAACAGACAAATAACATATCGAACAGTAGCTAGAGAATAGGAAAAATGGGTCAACAAGCCAACATTGTTTTACAATGAACATTAAACTGTGATTGGTTAATAAAGAGATACAGTCGTACAAGGTCAAAAGGAGTTGATGTGGTGGTGGGCGTTTCCCTTATTATTGGTGGGTTCGTCTATCAATCACATTTTACACTACTCTTAAACTGATGAGCATAGTATATCTAGGTAGGTGGGAGTTATGCTTATGTAATACATGCCTCAACCGAAGATTATTTTAGGTGTCATCAGCTAGTTTATCGTCGTTACGTAATACCATACATTTGACGTCAACACTATACACTCTGTCGCTCTGTGATTCTCGAGCAGCGCTTTGAAGACATTTATTTTTGAGAACTTGTGGGCTACACATGTTTTCTATTTTCATAGACTATGTTTTACAGCCATAGAGCAATACAGAGCAGCAGTATTGATTCATATGTTGAACACATCTGTTTTATAAATGTTAGTAATAATGTGAAACTGCTCAAACCTCGAAATATGAGGAATAGGGTTCAAATTTGTTACCTAGCATTTTGAAGTCGAGTGGTTCAACCACTAAGCCTTCACTCCAGAGTAGCTCGTTCAAGAAACCCAATAATATGATTGGAAAGGAAATCAGTCTAACCTTCAATCAATAGTACTTTCTATTAATTTCTTACTGGAGAGCATAACTTATTTAGCAAGTATAGGTTTTTTGTGTAGGTGACTTTAGACCAAACTGTTTACTTGGACGTTAATACTATTTTCCTATTTATTTTGTATGTCACTGGTGCATATAAGAGTGTAGTCTTCACTGAAGACTTCATTCTAGTCATCTAGAGCTATCTACATTTACCTTCCATGAACACACTACTGTAGCGCATTTCGACTTGCCGGATGGGAAAATAAAAAAAGTGGCAGTTAGGGTTTGGAATGAGATCTTCCGCAAAAATCATGCTCTTATATCCACTAGGGTTAGGGTTAGGCAGATGTGCTACGGATTCACAGACATGTACCTCTCTCACCCACTACCTGATTGTTCAAACTGAATTGAGAGGAGCGGGATTTGAGCTTGCCACAAGCCTATCACTTAACGGTTTGGTGATCTAACTAAGTTGTCCTTCCACTTACTGAAGTGTGTTAAAACTCAGATGATTGCTTACCAGTTTATTTATCATTAACAATAGTATACTAAAAAGTTTTAATTTATGGAAAATATATTTCCGTTCTGCTTCCTTTTTTCCCACTGAATAAATACTAGTCATATCCTGCTTTTGAAGCGAATATTGATTTTGAAATACGTTTTATGACTGATACACAAATGACTGGATGTAGCTGGGTTGAAGCACCAGCACAGAAATATCACTTGAGAGATTCTACAAAGAAATCGGATGATGTGAAAAAATCCATAGATCAAAAATTAAATTCTGTTAATTCTTCAACGACCTATACTACAAATGGTTATAGTAGTGTTGCAAAAAATGGTGTTGATGATCACTCGACATTGTTAACTAGTCAAACAAGATGTCAAATTGAGTTTGATATAGCATGGGATGCTTTGATTGTTCATTCACCTGAAGGTCAATGGAGTAATATCGCACCATTACGTGTACTGAGTTTTGATATTGAATGTGCCAGTCGTAAAGGTTTGTTGAGTTTTCTTTTGATTACTGTTAACTGATTAACTGTATATGTAAACAGCCGTATAAGATAGTATGTAATAGTGTTTGTGGAAATAGAGAAGATTAGAAGTCGAAGATACAAGCCGAAAAAAATAGGTCAGTTTTACAAAAAAATTTATAGAGAATTTAGAGACTTAAGATTTAGGGAAAGACAAAGGGTAAATGCACCTGGGCCATTGCGAATGATTCTGAGGCATGCCACCCAAAGCCGTTAATAATTGGTACGATAATCACTCAAATCCCAACCAGTTAGGTTACACCTATTAACATGGCTCAGTTCAGTTATCAATGACTTCAATTACTGATACCATACATTGATTTGATACTCCTAACTTTCTTTCAACCAACTCCTACACCAGATAAGATCGCGTGTCGTCGATATAGGCGGTAGTTGGATCTACTCAATACACTTGCCAACAAGCTCATTTAATAAAGATCACTACCTCATGAATCGATTTGTCGTACGTACGTAGTACTTTATACATGACCTCAGAATTGCTCACTGGTTTGTCCGAAAAGATCTGAGCGATGCTTGAAAGAGAGTTGTGATCGAATACTCTTAGTCTATGAAAATCCTCGATTGTAGGTGGTCATGTTTGACAGTAATGAAATAGAACGAGTTGAACTACTACGGTATTATTTGGTTGCTTTAGTTGTCAGACAATGTCATTATATGATACCTGTTGCCACGAAATTATTCATTTATTTACATAAAACTTCATTTTCAATTCACTTAACTAGGTGTATTCCCTGTACCCGATAAAGATCCAGTTATACAGATTGCTAATATGGTTACTAACTATGGGGAAACAACACCGTTTATACGTAATGTATTCACATTGAATACATGTGCACCAATTGTTGGTTCACAAGTTATTTGCCATCAAACGGAAGAAGAACTGTTAGCTGTAAGTATATATATATATATATATATATATATATATATATATATATATATATATATATATATATATGTTTTTAGTCTATTTATTACTGTATCTATACATGTGATTTCTATCGCTAATTAAAACTAATCGGAGAATCACTGAAAAATAGAGAAAGGCTCTTCTGGAATGTTTCTTCACCCATCTTCCTATGCGAAACGAGATCTAATTGCGGAACTAGATATCTCATGGTTGACAGTTTATTTGATATGGAAATTACATCAAAATTCTATAATGTGCCTCACAAGATCAACCCAGTAATTATATATAATCAAACAATTGATTCTAATGGCTTCATCATGAGTCTCTATGTATATCTATCCACCGACTCCCTCGACGGGTAAGGATGGCTGGTGTAGGTGCACGTTGGAAGAAAGCTAGGGGGCAGCCAAACCAAGACAAGGTGTCAGTCCATGAATACTCTGACTATCCAACTAAAGTATGTAAACAGATGCAGACTACCTGGTTGGTGTTCGCGTTATGATTGTAGTCAATGCTTAAAAGACTTTGGATGGCATGGCTCAAGATCGTTCACGGTGGTGCGGATGCATTCACTCATCATCTTCTCCCAAATTTTGAACTTCTAAACTTCTTATCATCTTTTTTTATTCACATAATTTGTAATTTTTGAGATCATCTCTTTGGTGCCTAACATTTTCTACTACCATGAATACTATTACTACCTCTACTACTATGAAATTTACCCTTACAATTATATTTCACTGTACTAATCGTGTATGACAACTTAAACTAATGTACATATGTCCCATATTTTACATTGCATCCGACTAACTGGCTAAATAACAGATGTTTGCGAATCCCTAATTGTTGTACATTGGTGCCTAAACATATAGGTCATTGGTAATGTCTCTGAATGTGAAGTTGAGCGACATGTGATCAAATCCTCGAGGTAGCATCAGTCCCCTCAAAATTACAGGTGTATATCTAGTCAACGAATACCAGATAGAACGAAACCAAAGTCCAGTGTTTCCTGTCGATTATCTCCAACCATCAACTCACAGCTTAACATAGTACACGCCATGTCGAATCACGTAGACTAGTTGCCATATTGCAACTTGATCAGCACTCAAAAGTACTTGACATGCATGATATCTGTCACTGCTCAATGATTAATCAATTGTAGATATATGTATGTGTAGTTGTTACTTTCTATTTTTTTGTTATATTGCTAGAATTGGTCAGTGTTTGTGCGTGAAGTTGATCCAGATATAATCACTGGTTATAATATACAAAATTTCGATCTACCTTATCTTATTAATCGTGCTAACACCTTAAAAGTTGATGGTTTTGAATTTCTTGGTCGTATACGTGGCGCACGTTCTACAATACGGGAAGCTATGACTCAGTCAAAACAAATGGGTCGTAGAGAGAATAAATTTGTAAATATTGATGGACGTGTACAGTTTGATTTATTACAGGTTAGTTTGGTTTTCTATTGACCTTTATACGTTATGCCGTCTTAGATCGACCATTGTCCTACCTGTGTGTAGTTTTTAATCAACATATTTCTTACAACTTTACTTCATATTTTTATTTCCTACAGTGGGTTTTTTCTATGATCCATTTACTATGTCCACATTGTTTGCGAAGACGATTATGGTATACTACCCAGCTGCCCAAAGCGAATTAGTTGGGGTAGGGTTCGAACCCGAATCCTACCTGGTGGTTTAATATCGATTGTAGTTACTTCTCGTGAACACCGTCTTGCATATATATGTATGCATCATGGAAAACGAAAGACTTCGTAGTATTGATAGCAGCAATGTTGTGTTATTTCATTTGTCAACTCGGTTATTTTATGTTTATGACGGACGGGGTTTCCAGAATGAATTGATATCACATTTGTGATAGAAATACCTAAAAAGAATAATTCTGCATGCAGTAGACAGTGATGATGTTCAAAATAACAATGAAAGCTTCACATTTAAACCATCCAACTTAAAGAACACACCGTTATCGAGATTTTTATACTTCCGTCGGGTTTCCTTGTCAAGTACTTGCTTGGAATAATAGCTATGTTTGACTTAATGCATCAATCAGTCACTCAATCCTCTACAACGTAGGATATAAGTATTCCGCCCATCGTTCTAAACGTTTAGGCTGAGATCAGATAAGAGTGGCGTTTTTTCCTGAGATTGTTTCACTCACAAGTGACTTCATAATTCCAGTTTCTTTTATTAATCTGAAAAGCTATCTTGTATTACCTACAGCCGCTGCCTTTTTCATCTCTTTTGCTTTCGTTGTCCACCACTGCTCACTATTCTTCTATGGACTTTTGGTTAACCTAGATCTGATTTGTTTTCACTCTTCTGAGCCTAGTAGGATAGGTTTATGAGAGTCTATCAGTGCAATGGATGTAATAGAAATCCACTGGTTTTTCGTGACCCTTTGGTTCAAACCACTAATAAATGCCGCTGCTGCTTCCACAGCTTTTCGTATATATTTCCAAGCAACATCTGGGTCAGCCTCGTTTCCAGAACTGCCTCAATTCTTGGAATATACTTTTAGCTTTCTCGTCAATGAGTTCAAATCTAATAGGCCTTTTTAATGTGACTTTTCGGCGTCCAGTGTGGCGCAAGCAAATCTGTGCTCGTATTAGAGCATGATCCGAGTCTAAACATGTTCTCCAGAACGAGCGACAGTCTTCTATCGAGAAGGGAGTCGCAATGTTAGACGGTATCTCTCCTTATGCTTAAAATTATTGTTAGCCAAAAATAAACGATTGTCTGAGCACAGTTGCAGCAGACGGTTACCGTTATCTGTTCGCTGAGCCGCAATACCAAAATACCCATCTAAATATCTTTCTGTTTGGTTTATGCTACCTACTTGGGCATTAAAGTCACCTGCTATGAGTAATATGTCTGAGTGTTCAGCTCTTTGAAGGAGTTTGGAAAGCTTTCTGCAAAAGTCATCTTTCACTTCATCCGGGCTGCAGTCAGTGGGAGTGTAGGCAGAGACGATGAAAAGATAACTACATGTGTCTCTATTCTTCCGAGTTCTTACGGAGCCGTTTAGGCGAACCAGCACATAGGCGACTGTTAACAGGCATCCATCCTAAAAGTGCTTGTTCAATGCTATGCCTACATCCTCCAGTCCACGAGAATTCGCCGTCGGGTCCTCAGATAAAAGGCGAGTGTATCTCGTCGGCTCTCCGTTTTGGCTAGGTGAGGCCATATGAATAACCACACTATGATCCTGTATGCGTGTTTCGGAAACATTATAAACCAGTGGTACGAAATTCTAGGGTTTTAGTCAAGGAGACCTGCTGGGCGATTTGACATAGAGTACGTACGTTGAAGGCTCCAATGTGTTGTTTGAAGAGAGGTTTCAGTAGACCTGGGACAGTATTTCGCGCACTAGAATCATTGATCATGGTGACACTTTAGGAGGAAGCATAGAGCTGATGGTTGAGGCAGGGAATAACAGGAATTGAAGAGGGAAATCGATTATGAATACGGTGGTCTTGAGTGCTGTCAGAGGTATGAGGGCGGTTATCACTTCCCGACTGCCCACACCGTGGAAGAGTTCTTCTAGAGGTACTCGAAAAGAAAATTGGGTTAGAGTTGGTCTTAGTAATCTGAGAGCGTGACCTCAGTTCCCAATAAACAACTGCTTGAGGTGGGTCACACACGACCTTTTTGTGAGTAGTTTCCATGTTAGATCCGTACTTGTTGGGACCTTACCGTCGGAGACGGATATCCATGGGATAAGGCGAGGTGTGCATTTTTAGGGTCGACCTTTTCTAACCCCCATCTCTGTTATGTTGGTTGTCTGAAGGGGACACCGTACTGCCGTTACACAGTCTACAGTACAACATCACCCTCGGACCTTGAGTTTGCCACTTTTAGTCTTACCGCCCTTCAACTGACCTGCCTGTCTAACATGGTAGGATCTCGAGGAACGATTGTTTCAGCCAGTAAGACCTGATTGGTTCATTACGATAGATAAACCTGGCCACCACGTCAAGGTAGCAGTAACAGTCCGGCATGAATGTGTCACTCTGATACACATCCAGTGTTATTTATTGGTATGTTAATACCTTGAGGTAAACGTATCACTTTTAAATAACTACTCTCACAACATTCAATCGTTTACATTTCTAACTTCAGTCAATTCATTGAATTGAAACTTTTTGTTCGAATGATTTGTAATATTATTAACATCATTTATAAAATTGTTCTTCTTGTCAGTTATTTTATTTAAATTTCATTTTAGATATTATTTCGTGATTATAAACTTCGAAGTTATACATTGAATGCAGTGAGTTATCATTTTCTTGAAGAGCAAAAAGAAGATGTACATCATAATGTCATTACTGACTTACAAAATGGTGATGCTCAAACACGAAGACGTTTAGCTGTTTATTGTTTAAAAGATGCTTATTTACCATTACGTTTATTAGATAAATTAATGTGTATTGTAAATAATATTGAAATGGCTCGGGTTACTGGTGTACCATTAACATACCTACTTACACGGGGTCAACAAGTCAAGGTTGGTATATGTGTATACCTTTTTTGTGCAAATACTTTTTTAACAGTTGAATCCATGAGTCGATCTAAGCTAGACCATCATTGAAAACCTGGGACACTAGACGGCCGTTTCGTCTTAGAATGGGGTGTGTACTGTTGAGGAGTCCTATACTAGGACGGAACAGCTATCCAATGCTTCCAGGTTTTCGATGATGGTCTAGCTCAGATTGCCTCGCGGTTCCGACTTCGAAAATACATTTTGTCTGAACCTTTGACTACTAGTATTTAGTAAGTAGCATAATTATATATTGAAAGATTTCGTGATTCTTAATATATTTTATGTTTCTTCAATAGGTTGTGTCTCAGTTATTGCGTAAAGCCCATGAACATGGTTATTTATTGCCAACATATCAGTCGCAACAGGGTGATGAATTCGTCGGTGCAACAGTACTGGAACCACGCAAAGGTTTTTATAATGAACCGATAGCTACATTAGATTTTGCTAGCCTATATCCAAGTATAATGATGGCTCATAATCTATGTTATACAACTTTGTTACAAGTGAATACAACACCACATGGTTCAACGGGCGGTGGTATTCAAGCACTTGTTCAACGTTATAATTTAACTGATGAAGATTATATTAAAACACCGACTGGAGCGTATTTTGTTAAATCACATATCTGTCATGGTATTTTACCGGAAATTTTACAACAGCTTTTAAGTGCCAGAAAAAAGTAAGTGTGTAATCTCGTTAAGAGCGAAAGCCCGTTAAGGGTGCCTTTTTCAACGGAAACTTCTATGAGATAATCTTATTTTAACTAGTTACCTGTTTCTGTATAGATTTCTTAAAGTTCTCGTTACAAAATTAAACTTGCACCCTCTTCTTATCAAGGGCAGAACTGTCACTTTGCTATTAATGATGTAAACCATAGGAATCTCACTGAATGACTTGATTGTATCTCGCTTAACGCAAGATGTATGAGAAACTAATAGCTGTTTCTATTCCTCTACCAACATCTTAATCAGTAAATAGCGTGTTTTAAAGTTTTATCCTTGAAAAGTTCACGAATAATTTAACAAATCCAGAAAATATTACTATATGTAAAGCAGCAAGGTAAATTTTGTTAAAGCTAAAATTTCTAATCAACATCGCGTATGATATTCTCAGTCGGGTTGGCTACCTTTTTCACGGATATACACACTGACCAATGAATAATAATCGAGGCCTTTGCGATTTGTTGGTCCCCGCGGCTCTCCCAAATTAGGGGCCATTCATAAACCGCATAAAAAGAGCAAATTAGTTCTCTGTTATACCCAAATCGATCATGTTATAAAACTCATATAATAATTTACTGAAAATTCTTGATTACTCAGTACGACAAATAAGAAACCATAGTTTAAGCACAATTACATCATAAATGGTAGTGTTCGTTGCTAACAGCGCATAATTAATTAGCAATAATTATGCAGTAGTAAAAGGTATAATATCAGTCAATAGGTTCACTGTACGCTTACAATAAGAATATAGCAATGCAATAAAGATATAAAATATAATGGTATTAATCATCATCAGCAAAACATGGCCCTTAAGAGTAGAAGACACCCGTAAGCTATTAGTATTTGACCACAGATGCCTTAGAAATATTGCTGGCATCTGCTGGGATCACCGGGTAAGTAATAGTGCGGTTGGACGCAGGGTATTAGGAAATGATGGTAAATCAGTTGATGAGGTTATGAATCTTCATTGACTGAGATGGTTGGGTCACGTATTACGTATTCCTGAACACCGACTACCACGACGTGCAATGCTAACCGGTGTAGGGGATGGTTGGAAGAAAGTTAGGGGCGGCCAAACCAAAACGTGGCATCAGTGCCTGAAGTCACTAACTTCCAGTCTGAGCCATGTTGGTAAATGCAGACTACGTGGTTGGGGTCCGCGTGACTTTCGTAACCAATGGTTGGAGACTCTTGGTGACATGGCTCAGAATCGATCACAATGGCGTCGATGCATACTCTCCCTGTCTTCCTTTAAACTAAGAGATTACAATCGCTTCATATCTTTCTTTCTACGAACCAATTCTTTCTTCTTGTACTATATCTCCATATGCAATCTTTCTCTTACATATTACTACCTTTGACCTAACCACTGCTGTGAATCCGGTGTTCATCTTGTTGTGCTGATGCGGTATGGCAACCTGGACCGATGCACATATGTGCCTGGTCCTACGTTGTAGCTGACTAACTGGTATTAATCATCTGAAAAATAGCCTTGTGAGTTTCAACCTGCTAAAGATTCGTCCAACTAAAATACATTTCACTCATTAATCTTTTCCTATGTTTCCTTTGATTTGGAATCTGTGGTTGTCAAGAATTTCTTCATTTAATAATAGTTCAGTCAAATACAATTTCTAGTCAGCATACTTCACTTTTAAATGGGACTTTATTTAAATACTTTCTTATAATAATGTAATTGATTCATTTAACTTAAGCCATGTTCGCTTGTAAAAGCATGAATATTTTCCCATAAAGCAATTAAAAGTACTTTTGAAGTGTACTCCATGATTTAGTTCTGAAACATATCTTATGAGACCATGTGTTTCCTGAGCATTCCATTGTTTGTTGTGTGTCTATTTCTCTCAGTTTAAATTTCTGTGGGAGAAATTCATTGTCAGTCATCAAGTTACCGTCTGACTGGAGCTTCTATCTTGACATGGCGGCTGGTTTTTTCTTTAATGATCTAGCTATATTAGTTAGCACACTTGCTTTTTTAGTCCCTATCGTATGTAAAAGTCAATCATTTACAGATGAATCTCTAAACTAGTCCTTAGACTGTTGAAGACATAGTTTTGGAGTGAACAAAGTCAAAATAAGTGAGCTTTTTGACTTGGAAAAGTCTATGCTTATGAAGTGCAAATTAATACCGTTAATATAAAACCAGAACTCAATGTAGTCTATTAAAAGAAAAAAACAGAGTGACAAAAAATGATACACCAGATGGAGCAGCTAGAGGGTACGAAAAGGGAGTGAACAAAGTTTAACATTCTATACAAATGTACGAATATTTGAACGAATAGTCTGATACAATTGTCGCTTAATGAAGAAATTCTTCGTATGAAATCACATTTGTTATCCTACGAAGCATATCCATAGCGAAGTTAAAATAAATCAGTGTAATGGGGCACGTTTATCAATCACACTTTGCACTATACGTTACCGACTAATTGGAGAACATTAAGAATATAAAAAAAGCAAACTAAGGTACTTGGGTGAAATCTTCTAAGTGCTGATTGTACTGAGGTTTAACAGCAGTTAGGCATTTTCCTACAACAATCAGTATTTCCAGCCATCCACTCTCCTCACAACTAAACGAGCAGGTAAGAAAAGTTAGACCTAGGATTTGCACACTATCATACCACACGGATTTCGGTTGTTGGTGATACAGCTTCCAAAGTACGAAGCTAACATCTCAAGAACCACTCACAAGAAGGTCATGTTGTGACCTGACCTCAACTACCTCTCTTCTGAGGTCTGCTGTCACGTTCCTCGGTTGCTAACACGACTACTTATCCAGACAAAGTGTTCCTACATGGTGTGGGTCACCGCCTACTTACCTCTAACCAGGAACCTATGGTTCGAATTCGCATTTATACTCTTCACTATACTGGGGTGTGATAGTAGTAGTAGGGTTTACCATCGGAAAACCACTATCTGCAATAAAACTGCCTTCTCACTGTAGAGGGAAAGCTTTGGAATCGGCTTACGCGTTTGACAGTACCAAAGGCCACCCTGTTCACGATCGAATACACTTTGATTTAAAAAAACATTTATTACACATTATTACAGGCAACTAGAAAAGCGTTTAAACTAAGTTCTTTGACATATGTTTCACGAATTCATTATATACTGTTTTTCACTGATAAAGTCCTTCTATATTCTAAAACATCATTTGCCTTTTTAGTTGTCGATTTTCACTTTACTACTGATCACATTTAATATTTCATACAATATGTTGATTAGTTTCAAAATTATTCTGTTTAATGAATTTGAAAAAGACTCTAAGAAGGTAGGACCAATGATCGAGCCATCAGAATTCGGATGGTAGTGTTGAGTAACGTGCTATATAGAAACTCCAAAAGGGTTACCCTTAAGATTAGGATATATCAGTAGGACTTCTAAGTTAAGGTTTGTATGGGAGTTGAAGAATTCTTTGCAGCTACAAACAAATATTTATTTGTTTAAAAACATAAACATTGGTACAAAAGAGCACCACACTTATCATTGAATTCGTGTGAGGGCTGGGATACTCCTCGGTGGTCACTATCCAATCTTTTGGCCCAATATAAAAATATTAGTAGACGCAGTCCCACGTTGGCCGGTGACCAAGGATAGATTCATACTCCATTTGTTGCCTCAGAATCCTGAAGCCTAAGTGTTCCACCGATTTAAAATTTGAGTTTTCCAACTCTCCTAGATGTATCCTCTATTCCTGCCCACTCGGTTTAAACACAGGACACTCGACTTTCATCCTCTTGGTTTCATAAAGCAACATCCCTTCCATGATAAGGTAGTGAACAGGACTACCATAAGATTGGCTGTATACTCCTGGTCATATAAGAGTAAATGAATAATTACTTATGCAGTCAGTTTTGAATCTCATTAGTTTGTTAAGGTATTGTTTTACTTTCTTTATCATTTTCTCTTCCCCATTTATAGAGCTAAAGCTGAACTTGCTAAAGAAACTGATCCATTACGTAAACGTGTTTTAGATGGACGTCAATTAGCATTAAAAATTAGCGCTAATTCTGTTTATGGATTTACTGGTGCACAAGTTGGTAAATTGCCTTGTTTAGAAATATCCGCTTCTGTTACATCATTTGGACGTTTAATGATTGAACAAACAAAATTACATGTTGAAAGTAAATTCAATATTGCTAATGGTTATAAACATGATGCTGTGGTAAGTGGCATAATATTTAAATATGTTTAAAGGGAGGGGGAACTAGATGAAATTTTTTGAGGGCTAGGATACTGCTCGCTTCCCCAAAACTGAAGCAGGTGGTTTTCTTAAGAGGGGGTTATTTCCGAGGCTTTGACTTAGAGACTAGTCAACAAACCAATGAGGCAACGTAAGATGGTGGTGTCCCATGGTAGCTGATGACCAAGAATAGGTTCGGACGCCGTCTATTTCCTCAGGATACTGAAGCCCATATGTACCATTAATTGTGAGTAAGAGTTTTCCAACTCACCTAGATGGTTGCTTCGTACCTACCAGCACCGTCTAAGCGACGTACACTCGCTTTTCGTCCTCTTAGTTTCTTAATCAACAACCCCTCCATGATGAGACAGTAAATAGGGCTTCCCTAGGATTGGTTATATACGCGTGGTCATGTCATAGCATTTCGAGAGGAAGAGGCGGGTTTTCAAACAGAAGGCCTGTAAGTTTGAATTTCTCTTCGAATAATAAAAATCGACTGAATGTTCATTTTGTAACCGTTTATTTTTTTTCTCTGTTTATTTCATAGGTTATTTACGGTGATACAGATTCAGTGATGTGTAAATTTGGTGTATCCACAGTAACGGAAGCTATGGAATTAGGTCGTAAAGCTGCTGAAATTATATCTGAAGAATTTCCTAAACCAATTCGATTAGAATTTGAAAAGGTACGTTCTTGAATATATTTTCTATAAATAGATAAATATTCATTCGATATTTCAACTGATATCATGGCACATAATATATTGAGCCAGTCAGAAGTTTCCAAATGGATGGTCTGTTTATTCAAGTAGCTTGATTGACTCGTATATAGGGAATTTACTTATCAGTATCAACTCTGAAACACCGGTCATTACAACAGTAGACATTGGTGATAATTTGTTAACATGAATTATGAACTATACATGTAACGCTTATTGCTCTCATCTTTCAATTACACTTAATGTAATGGATTGGACGGTTTAATTTTAGTTAATCTCATGTGATGAATGGGTAGGATATGCGGTATGACATGCGGTGCCCAAAATTTGATACTGATACACAGGCTTCGTTGTACACTAGTCAAAGTAACTAATTGAGAGAAAAGATTGAAAGTGAAAAAATTTACTAAATAAATCGAATCGATGTGTAGCCTCGCGAATAAAATAACCGGCCTATATTAGTGTATGGATACTACGAATAACTCATCCAAACTTTGTAGTGATTAGTGGAGTAACTACTCCAATCCGGTTAACCGTCCCGGCCCTACCTTATTCTGCCACAGTGATTATTCAAGCGTCAACGACGAATGTAATCCGACGTGTGCCCTCCAGATAATGGTAAATTCATACGACCAAACAAGGGCCAATTGCTTCAATATGCGTCTTCATTTACATGTCCATTAGAAATTAAACCATCGGTTTATTATTTTATTTTATTTATTTTAACACTGATATTGGTACAAGGAGGCACCAAATACATATGCGCCACACAAATCTCATTCGATATATGTAAGGGCTGTGATACTGCCCGGGTGCCCAAACTGAAGCAGGTGGTTTTCTTAAGAGGCCACTCCCCGAGCCTTCGACCTGGAGATCTAATCCACAAGGCAGTGAAGCATCGTAAGAAGATGCAGCCCCATGGAAGCCAGTGACCAAAGAATGGTTCATACGCCATTTGTTCCCTCAGGATACTGTAGCCCATGTGCACCATTGGTTTGGAATCCGGTTAAAGCGCGGGACATTCGCTTTTTGTCCTCTCATTTTCGTAAACAACACCTGTGGTGCGAGAAGGCAGTGAATAGGGCTTCCCTGGCAGAGGCTATATACGCGTGGCCATGTGAGAGCATTTCGAGAGGGAGAGCGGACTCTCCCCACTCTCGGCCGTACCAGGGCGTTTGGGGGCTCAGTGGTCTAGAGATTAGGCGTTCGTGCACGAGACCGTTAGGTCCTGGGTTCAAGTCCCGTGAAGCGGGATCGTGGATACGCACTGCCACTGATGAGTCCCATTCTAGTATGAAACCATCGGTAGTGTATATATTATCTCTTAGAAATGAAAGATATTTCTTGGTCAGTAATATTCATTAATTTACTTGATTTCTAATTGGATTAATGTATCGTGATGTAATTTATACAGGGGTATTCTTCATTTTAGTTGGCACTAATTACTTGTTTTGTTCCAGACAGAGATATATAGATCACTTTAACAGTAGTCACAAAAGTACGAGTTTAAATGCTTCTGCTTACATTAGATTTTGACACTTATGCTACCGCTATCGAAAATACCATGGTACATATTGAAATTATGTTTCTTGTGGAGCCTGATCTCAAAGATTTAAAATTGCGCCAGATAATCTAAATGTTGCTTGATAACCTGTCTGCATCAACGCCTGACCTACTGACAAGGAGTAAAGTAGTTGTGTGCGTCGACCAATACTTATCCTAAGAGTCTCTTCAGTCCTGATGGTCTGGTGTTCGACAAAATCTCGGGATGGATACAGAAAGCTTTATTAGTTTTACCGAACTTGCATCACTTGTAGCGTAGTCAAGATGTCCATCTGCTAACCGAAGAGTGAGCATACTGCGTAGAAGTTTGGTTTGTATTACGCTGTTTATGAAACATAATATCCATAGGCTTCACTCTTTCGATCATGCTTATCTTTAAAGCATTGTTTAATTATTGTGAAACGGCCGAATAAGTGCATAGGTTATTTGGTAAAGATGGCAAATTAGCTGACCAGGTTGTACACCCTCATTGACCGAGGCAGTTGGGATAAGTGGTTCGTATACCCAACCACCGCCCACTTTATTAGCGATTGTAGCTGTTGTTAGAGTACGTTTGAATAAATGTAGGGGAGCCAAATCAAGGCTATGCATTCTCTCATGAAATCACTCACTATTTGTGTAAGCCACGTCGGTACGTGCATACTACTCCGCTGGAGTCTGCTTGATGACCACGATCAATGGTTGGAGACGTTTGGTGATACATCAGTCAGAATCGGTCGCAGTAGCGTACGTAAACTCATTCATGCTCTATCTTGCTACATATCTAATATGACTACTAGTGATGCCACAATTATTTCGATTCCTTTGGTATTTATCTTTTCAAATTCAGGTCTTCATTCACTTGTGGTATGGCAACTCGGGCTAACACATATCTGTGCTAGTCTCTATGTTCATGGCTAAATGTGACTGACTTAGATACTGTTTTTATCATGAGTATCAGAAGCTGCTTTATTTTCTCCTTCAGAATTTGAGCTTCACTATTACTTTCATGCATCTTATTTTGCCGAATGATCCCGCCTTTTCAAGCATTTCAACTGTATCTATGACATCATTTTATTTGTCAGGCATCTCGTTAATTTCATTTCACTATACTAATGTGTGACGATTACGCGCCATTCATATTTTTTCAAGTTCTATGTTATGTATAACTAATCTAATTTGATGTTTATAAGCCTTCACATCGTCGTTAGTTCATTTCAATGCGTTTATCTCTTCATGATAGAAATAATCTTTCCTATATTTATATCATTAATTGATTTCAGGTGTATTGTCCATATTTATTAATCAATAAAAAACGTTATGCTGGTTTGTATTTTACAAAACCAGATCGACACGATAAAATGGATTGTAAAGGTATTGAAACTGTACGTCGTGATAATAGTCCATTGGTGGCTAATTTAATCAATGCATGTTTAGAGCGTATATTGATTGATCGGTAAGAAGATTAAAGTTTTCTGTACCTGTATGTATATATATATATATCTTTTTGTGGAGATTTTGTGTAATGCGAATGGATTTTAATCACTTGCCTTAATAACGCTCTGTTTTCTACCTTACACAATGGGATCTTAATTCACCTTAGACGATTGTCTGCACTAGATACCCTCCCAATGTCTTCTCTACAAGATTTCAACACACTTCAGATCAAGAACACGTGACTAGCCTGAATAGAATGTCAGTATATTGCTATGCTAACAACAGACAACAATCACAACAATAATAAGGGTAGTAAAATATATAACTCATTTAATACCTGTCAGACTGTCTACTAATCTGATTGAACAAACAATCAATCATTATTTTCGTCGTTCATACATCACTTACTAATATCAAATGCAAAACAGCTTTCTACCATTTTGTCGCACAACATAATCCTTTTACACTTACTTTGATTTGGGTAGCCAATTCTAACTTCTACAAACTATTTGGTAAAAATCTGAATACAGAAAACCTGTACTTGACCAAGGTGTATTAGACCACTACGTTCTGGTTTATTTGTGGTCGTGACTGAGGAAGTTTTTCGAGTTCAAAATCAAATGAACCCCTCAGTTTTTGTACAAACTTCTCCTACATGCTACTATCGTCATATTTTAAATAAACTTAATGGGATTTTGTGTCACATTGGTAGTAATTCATAAGTTGGAAATGCTAGTTTCTAGGAAAAAAAAATATCACATAAACAAACAGGTTATCACTTCACGACCTGAAATTTTATTAGCAATAATCTTTTAACTTTTGTTGTTCGAATATCTCAGGAGTTTCCATTAGGAACCTTCTATTCATCTTTGATAGACAATCGAAAACCATACACAACTTGTCACAGACAGCCAAAAAAGCATTACATAATTGCAGCATTAAAACTGAGAATTCAAAAAGCTACCGATCTACACTGAGGATAAATGTCGAAATAGGTGTGATATCACGAACTAACTCTACTTAGATAATAATTAAAATTTGGGAAGCGCTGAATTGCTCTTTCATTTTGTGTATGGGACGTTTTCAAGACTGCGCATCCTCGAGCACATCGGGGATCGAACTCAGATCGTGAGTTTTCAATGGTTTGTCTATGGTCAGTCCATAATATGGAACCACGAAATTCAACAATATTATTTTAACAGCAAAAATAATAATGTATTTGTTCCTCCAGTACAGAATGCGGTAGATAATACCATATAATTTATACACCAACACTAGACTGGATAATTTAACTGGGGTCACCAGATCGAAATACTAAATACGAAAAGATCAGACCACTAGATTAATTCACGTTATGCACAAATACACATTCCCGATTAACATTTAAACATCATATTATAAAGACAGGAGTGTCTAATCTTTCGATGGACAATCGGTTCGCACACAATGAACCCAGAGTAGAAATTTTACGTGAATCATTTACCGTGTAAAACTAGTGGTTGATATTATAGATCATAGAATAGGCGTCTATCTGTCTGTCTTCATTCATTAACCGATTACAGCCTATTGTAACATCAGATCTCTACATTCATCTTAACTGTTAAGTAGCCAAATTCTATCACAATTGATTGATCACTGGGTGGTGATCAACGTCATGCGTGTCTAGTCCTTATTATTTGTGCAGATCGAATGCTATCGATCATGTTGGAATGTGGTCACCAGGTTAGTCGCGGTTCGGATAGCTCAGTGGTAACGTCTCTGACTGTGAAGCTGGGTGACACGAGATCGTATCCGCCAGGGATCACCAGTTCCCTCAAGATTACAGGTACACCTTACTGACGAGTCCCAAGTAGCACGAAACCTGGGTCCAGGGTTTCCTGTTGACTACCTCCAACCACCATCTAAAAAGCCTAATTCTATGTTAAATTTTGTAATATCCATCCTATTGTTGTCATATAAATACGGGAAATAAATAACATAACTATTTTAATTTGTCTAGTCTCTGTCAATATGGAGAATAGTTCTGACTTATCCACTACTGTAGATTTTCAGCTTACAATAGACACCTACATAACAGAGTTGAATGATGCGAAAGACAAAACAGCTGTCCACTTCACTTCTTTGAACTAAAGTCAATTCGTGTTACAAACCTTTCTTCGAACTGGACAGTCTCTCTGCAGACTTTTCATGTTTTAATATTCAATAGTTTTCCATACATTTTTGTTTGTTTGTAATTTTTCTCTTTTTTCAGTGATCCAAACGCAGCGATTAGTTATGCTCAATCAGTGATCTCAGATTTATTATGCAATCGTATTGACATTTCACAATTAGTTATTAGTAAAGAATTAACAAAAACCGATGAAGAATACTCCGGTAAACAAGCTCATGTAGAATTAGCTGCAAAAATGCGTAAACGTGATCCAGGCTCAGCGCCAAATTTAGGCGATCGTGTACCTTATGTAATTACTGCTGTAGGTGGGAAAAATACAGCAGCTTATGCAAAAGCTGAAGATCCTCTTTATGTATTAGAGCATAATATACCGATTGATACAAAGTATTATTTGGAAAATCAATTAGCTAACCCTTTACTACGTATATTTGAACCAATTTTAGGTGAAGTGAAAGCAAAATCTGTACTGTTAAGTAAGTTGTTGTATATTGTTCTTTTTAAAAAAATTATGTCTGTTCATTACTTCTTACACTTGTTACTTACTCCTCGTGGAGTATAGATCACTGACCAAGAAATTTCTTTAGAACTCTCCTTTCCAATTGTTTTCAAGTTCTACTCATCCTCTTGGTGTGTTTCGGACACTGTGCTTTTGGTCTGCCTTTCTTTTGTCTTGAGATTTCCAAATTAGAATTTGCCTCGTGATTCAGTTAGCTGGTTTTCGTAATGTTTTATCTATCCATCTACAGTGTCTGTGCCTATTACTGCAAATTTGTAAAACTCAACACAGCCTTCTTTACAAATCATGCAGTAATCGATATCAGAAAGGTTTATATGTAGTTTTGTTAGTTTTACTTGATAGGTGATGGATGTATAGAGTTATCTTACGTATGGTGAACGAAGACTTTGTGCAGATCACCAATTTATTGTATAGTGCGAAATTACAAAGTGTCTTCGTAAATTACGGAAGCCATATATTAAATACTTCATTTGCACATCTTCAGATCTGCCTATTTTTAAGTTTTGTTTGATCCATAAATCGTTGTTGTATGTCGTATCATTCCAGATTTATCCCTGATTGATTACTCTTCTATTACTCTGGTTTTGTATCACTTATGATTGAGTTGTGTACATGCTGCAATTCCCTGATTATGTCTCCACGTGGTCAGATATTTCAAGTATGTCATTGAGTGAGTTTTGAGTCATCGTTGAATTGAACACAAATGAGCTGCTTTCTATCTTCGTCCTCTGATTAGCCACAGGGTCTCCAGTAGCTTGAGGAGAAAGTGTTATGTTCTTGGTTCATATGTCATTTGGTAAATATGTCACTGGTTCTAATGGCACTATAAGTGAACTAGTCAATAATCACACTAGAGAGTGAGAGAGAGAGAAAATGATTATATAACGGCTTTCTTGTCATTCTAGCCCGATTACGCGGGACTCAATACGTTACTAGCTAACGTCTAGTTTTTTTCATTGTAATAATATCACATTTATTTCTTTTTTTACAAAACTTCCTATTTTTTCTTTGTGCTGCATAGATGGCGAACATACACGTGTAAAAGCTGTGGTACACTCTACTGTTGGACAATTATCAGCTTTTACAAAAGTACGTGCATCATGTATTGGATGTAGAACATTATTACCTGCTGATAAAACAGGTGAGAGGGAGGTTATGTTGAACACGTGAAGGTTTTTTGTGTATCATTTTTTATTATTCCATTGTTTTCCTTTCTAACATCACTGAGCTTGACAACTAAACAAGTATTCACATTCAATGGAAAGGTAACATATTTACTAAAAAAACGTCCATTATTGTTTAGATAGATAGTTGGTAGTAAGTCAGTTCAAGGTGATGGAGGAATATGTTCGTGAACAAGATGACCTCAGGTGCTGTTAAAGGTATGAGGACGGTTGTCACTTCCCGGCTGCCCATATCACGGTAGGGCGTTACCTCTTGATTGTGGTCTTAGTGACCTAGAAACGTGACCGGAGAGCCGATGTGACAGCTACTTGACTTTGGTCACACACGGCCTTTTTATCGAATGTTTTCGATGTGCTAGCTCTGCTATCCAAAAGGTCTTACCACCAGAGACGAAAATCCGTGGAGTGAGATATGGCAATTATATTATCAACCTTTCCTTATCCCTTCCTTCCGTTATGAGAAGGCAACATCGTTCCGGATACTTGTTGTCTAAGGAAATTACCTTACTGCTGTCACACTTCAGTATAGTCAGCAGTACTACTTCGCCCTCGAACCTTAATTTGCTGCTCATAGTCTTATGGTTCTCCAACTCACCTATCTGGTATAGTAAGACCTACAAAAACATGTGTTCCAGCCACTATATTTCAGTCCAGTTATCACGATAGGCAAGCCTGACCAGCCACATCAAGGTAGCAGCTAAGGTCTAAGGTTGATGGTTAGAGGTAACCAACATGAAACTCCGGACTTGAACTTCATGCTAGTTAATTGTTTTGTCAGCATAAGATTGCTCACGAAGATACTGACCCAAATCAGCTGATATCTTTCATTCTAGTAGTAGCTTGCAGCTAATTACCATCAAACTACCCCAACACTAACTATAACTCTGTAAAAACATGAAGGTAACAGCTGCGATTTGGGAAAAAGTGGAGAAAGGAAAGGGAGAATCCAGTCCTAATCAACTCAGAAATTGTTTTTATTATCCATATTTTTCTTCTTTCACTTCTTCTCCTTCCTCGTCAAATCTAGACGCAGCTTTATGTAAATATTGTGAATCACGTGCATCAGAAATTTATCAAAAAGAAATTGTACAGTTAAATTTATTAGAGAAAAAATTCACTTCTTTATGGACAGAATGTCAACGTTGTCAACAAAGTATACATGAAGAAGTTATATGTACCAGGTAGATTTATTATTATTATTATGATTACTTTGAATTACATTCATTGCGTGATATAAACTAGGAATTCAACGATTTCGACAAACTGCCTAGACTAATGATAATGTGCTCACTAATGACTTGTAAACAGAGTTGTCGTGCGAAACTGTTGAATGGAGTTCGATCATGTTAAACAGGTATCAGTGATAACAATGAATGATGGATGGTCTTACAATATCGCGAATTGACTGAGGTTACACATTTAAACTTAGTGATTTAGAGATTCTAAGTCTGATTCCTACTGAGGTCAATAATGTATAGTTTTCTAAAAACCTACATTTGACGAAATGGTTATAAAGGGCTTCCTAGTTTTTAATGGTCATCTAACTGCAGTCAGTGAGTGGTGTGAGTTCCAAATATTGGTGTTAATTTAGTCTTGAATATGTCTGATTTCGTGATCAATCCGAGTGGAAGAGGCTACTGCATACAGTTTAACATTTTTATTCTTTCCTTTGTATCTATTGAACGGCTTCTGTTAGCTTATTGTTTCGTTGATCCGACGCTTCATCATCATTCGTATTCGTACATTGGCTGCATACAATTCGATATACCTCTCAAAAATTGGATTCTAGATGTAGATTCTATCTTATCCTTAAACTTGCAAGCTGCACTTATCTTAGTGTTTCCTTGTTACGATTGCTAGGAAAACCATTAGCTGTACATACCGTCGTCTATTATCCGGTATTCATTACCAATCCATATTCAAATAACTTAGTCGTTTTGAACTTATCTATTTCTGCCTCCATTCAAATATATCGTTCTTCACTACCCTTTTCTCTCCTTGTCTTCACTGTACCGTATATCGAAAACTGCTGACTGGAGTGTCATCCGGTTCTATCGACATCTAAAACACCACATTCATAACTTTCATTTTAGTGATTTGCGTTTCCCGTGAATTCAAATTTCGTTAAAAAGAAATTCCGATGGGCTAACTACGATATTTTTCAGTTTGATGTTTTCTTTCTTCTGTTATGTAATTCACTTATCAAGCGTGGGTTTGATTTAATTCATACGTCAGTTATATATGAAGAGTAGAGCTAATAACTGAACTGATTAACTACTTAAATTAATATAAACAACCAAGCTATATTCATTCTACTGATAGGAAATCGAATGGTTCAACTGACATTACGAATCCAACCGTCCCATGAAAGTATCATTTATACTCAGTTTAAATCTTCTTCTCCTTAACATAATAAGTTTCTTTCATTTATCACATGTTACATATCCCTCCCACTATATGTAAAACTAGTTGTGGCGAACACTACTCACAAGATTGTTAATAAGTGATATTATAGAGGAACGTCAAATGGAAGTTACTACAATTGACTGCCGAAGAAAAGAATTCCAGGAGGTCAAAAAGCACGGTATGTACAGAATACTTTAAAGACCAATAGAGAAGCGAGAGAAGACAGCCTAGAGTGAAATTGTCTTAGGCTCATCTATTACTGACGATACTTTCAGACTCAACAGTTGTTTAGCTGCCCAGGCTATTTACGCTACAGTCGAAAAGTTGTAGCTAATGAATGCGATACTCCAAAGCATCAATCGTCGATTTACATCTTGTGTATTGTTCAGTGCAAGTTAATTCTCAACTGTTTTCTCTTGTTTCTCTTCTAGTCTTCATGATATTCTGTATATAGCGTGCTTCTTAAACATCCTGAGTGTTTTCTCTTCGACAACTTCTACTTGACACTTCTCTACTATACTACTTTTACAAGCAGTCTTATAAGTAGTAGCATTCATTCACCACAGAGTAGTAGTAGTAATACACATATTAAATTTAATTATTTTTTCTAACATTTATATTTCAGTCGAGATTGTCCAATTTTTTATATGCGAATGAAATCACGTAAAGATGTTGATGAAGCATATAAAACAATTCAACGTTTTGGTAATCCTAATTGGTAAATCAATAAGAAAATAAAGGAGTCACATTCATTGAATTAGTCTAATCCATTGTAAAAAGAACAAACAACAAGAATATCCTTTAAGATCATTTTATCCGTAACATCATTCTCTCTCAGGTTTTGTTTAGTTTTCTCTTTATTCCAGAGTTCAAATCTTTTTTTTTATTATATTTTCTGTTCTAAAGATTTTTTTGTTGGTATTTTGAAAAGTGCATTTCCAAATTATTGTACTTCACATTTACATTGTTTAACATATTTTTTTTTTTATTGTAGTGCAGTTTGTTTTGTTAGGAATTAAAAAAACCTAGGCGATTGAACACATTCAAAGTTGGAACAATTAGGCGGGCGAAACTTTATCAGTTGAGATGGCTGGGACACGTGTTAGTCAGTCAGCTACAACGTAGGACCAGGCACATATGTGCATCGGTCCAGGTTGCCATACCTCATTAGCACAGCAAGATGAACAGCGGATTCATAGGAGTGGTTAAGTCAAAGGTTGCAATAAGGATATAGTATAGGAAGAAAGAATTAGTTCGTAGAAAGAAAGATACGAAGTGATTTTAGTCTCTTAGTTTAAGGGAAGATAGGGAGTGTATACACCGACGCCATTGTGATCGATTCTGAGCCATGTCACACACAGTCTCCAACCATTGGTTACGATAGTCACGCGGACCCCAACCAAGTAGTCTGCATCTACCAACATGGCTCAGACTAGAAGTTAGTGACTTCAGGCACTGATGCCACGTTTTGGTTTGGCCGCCCCTAACTTTCTTCCAACCATCTCCAACACTAGTCAGCATTGCACGTCGTGGTAATCGGTGTTCAGGCATACGTAATACGTGGCCCAACCATCTCAGTCGATGAAGATTTACAACCTCATCAACTGATTTACCATCATTCCCTAATACCCTGCGTCTAACCTCACTATTACTTACCCGGTGATCCCAGCAGATGCCAGCAATATTTCTAAGGCATCTGTGGTCAAATACTAGTAGCTTACGGGTGTCTTCTACTCTTAATGGCCATGTTTCGCTGCCGTAAATTAAAACAGAACGAACTGCCGCGCAGTATACTCGTCCTTTTATTGATAGACGGATATCTCGCCTTCGCCAAAGGTGACGTAAGTTGGCAAAAGCCAAACGAGCTTTTCGAATCCGTGCTGAGATTTCGTCAGACACCAACCCATCAGGGCTGATCAGACTTCCAAGATAAGTGAAGTTGTCAACGCGTTCAACTACTTCACTCCCTATCCTTAGTTCAGGTGTTGACGGAGACCAGCCCTGAAGCAACAACTTGCATTTAGAGGGAGGGACACGTGTTACGTATGCTCAACCAACGACTGCCTCGGCATGCGATGTTTTATGATGTAGGAGTAGGTTGGAAGAAAGCTAGGGGTGGCCAGGCCAAAACATGGTACAAATCCATGAAGTCACTAGACAAGTGAACTGAGCCATGTTAGTAGGTGTAGACTACCTCGATTGGATCCGCAAGACGATAGCAACCGATGGTTAGAGACCCTGAATGACATGGCTCAAAATCGCTTGCGATGACGCAGGTGCATACACTCTGTGTTCTCCCAAATTCTAATCTTCTGAATTATTCATGTCCCTTTCTTTTTTCTCTTTCCAAATTTATTTCACTGGATTATACTCTTTAAATAACATCTTCAAACCCTAATCTTTCCGATTACTGCTTAGACTCTTACCACCTCTACCACTATGGGTTTTGAATCGACAACTGCATTTCTGTGCTAATGTGGTGTGGCAACTCGAAGTGATATACGTACGTACGAAGTTCTAAAGTTGTTATTGACTGATGGAAAAACCAATTAGATTTAAGATAACAGGTTTTGAATTTTGACACATAATTCACTCATCCATTTGACTAAATTCAGAGTCTTGGCATTATAGCTGATGTCAGTTCGTAATGAAAACCTATATATCTCATTCCTAACATTAACCGTCAACTGTAAATCACAATTCTAATTTATCACCTTCATTTGATCCTAGTTATCAGCTGGACAGTCTCAAGGTCAGTCTACGTCGTCCATAAATTATAGTCCCACCCAAGTAGGCTATTCAACTTAATAAACTTCATGTTTTTGTATAGTTACTAGAGAGAATGGATAATAATGGGATAACAGAACTTCTCATTGTTTATGGTAAATATGTAAGATTCTGATTGGAAAATAAACGAAATATAATCCATATAAAGATCAAAGTGAACTAATCTAGTAGTGGACGTTTAATGCTGGTATTGGTGGATTCATTTATTGATCACAGCACAAATTTGTACGTTTAAAGATAGGGATGTAATTATATCGATGTCCTCCTAAAATGTCACCCTCATAAGAGCATGTATTGAAAGGATGTGCATCAATCAACCATGTTCGGACTTCAGAAAACACCAAAAAGGCGACTTAACAGTGTAATTTAAGTCTAAATATTGCTTACGTTTGTAAATATTTTTTAGCACTCTTTAATATACGGATTCATACTGTGCCGTGTTGGTTTTGCAGTTGAGTATCGATCTGTTTCCATAATCTACAACTAGTATCCTGGATCTAAGCAACAAACTTTCCAATTTTCTATTTGTTTAGACTGAAATCCTTTTATAAAACACGTTTGGATGAGTGGGTCCAATAAGTTATCTAAAGCCTCTCTGCCTCATTGCTCGTTCTAATCACTCACTACCAAAAAATCAGCGTCTTTGCTGTCTCCTAAGTACTTTTATTCCATTATGACGAGTCAAAAAAACATGTATTTTGGGACCGAGGTCGTAACATTTTGTAGTCCTAAATGCTTCACTTCAAAATAAACATTATTTTACATCAGAGATCTTGAGTGCTGTTAGAGGTAATGAGGGCGGTTATCACTTCCCGACTGCCCACACCGTGGAAGAGTTCTTCTGGAGGTACCTGAAAAGGAAGTCGGATTAGAAGTAGTCTTAGTGACCTGGGAGCGTGACCGCAGTGCCCAATGGACAACTGCTTGAGGTCGGTCACACGACTATTTTATGGGCAATTTTTGTGTTAGCCCGTACCTTACCGCCGGAGACTGATATCCGTGGGATAAGGCGAGTTGTGCATTTTTATAGTCGACCTTTTCTAACCCCACCCCTCCTTGTGGGAAGGCAGCATCGCTGTCATGCTGGTTGTCTGAAGGAAACACCTTACTGCTGTCACACCTCTGTACAGTCAGCAGTCCGACTTCGCCTTCAGACCTTGGGTTTGTTGCTTTTAGTCTTACCGCTCTTTAACCGACCTTTCTGACATGGTAGGACCTTGAGGAACAGTTGTTTCAGTCAGTATAGCTCGGTTGCTTCATCACGATAGGCAAGCCCGACCACCACGTCAAGGTAGCAACAACGGTCGGGATTATTTTACATACAATCACACGACTGTCCCCAGTACCCAAATCAATCAATTTAAAATGAATTCCTAATTATGATGCTTGTTCTTGTTTGAGTTCTTTTTTGATGTGAACCACTTTAAAAGGAGTAAAAAGACTTATGTACCATAAATATTATCGAATGGTTTTCAGAAAACTTTCCACGAATTTACTGCATAAACTCAAGGAACCTTGTCGTTGACATAACAGCTCGTTTCCACGTAATACCACTATATTTAAGCATATTGACCTTCTGACTGCTTCAGAAACATTTGCTCTTTTGTGATTCATCACAGCATTAATTAGAGATACTACTCGACATACATTAGTTGCAATAATATCTGATCAGAATTCGACTCATTCAGGGCATGTTTATAAAGATGATAAGAGATTTCACTGAAAATACATGCATTGTGAGGACGAATATACCAGATGAGATAGCATCATTCGAAGTCACATTTACTAAGGATTTCACTAAACATAAGTGAGTCAGTCGAACTTATTTGTTTAAACACAAAAACATTGGTTCAAGGAGGCAGCAAATACATATGCGCTACACTTTATCATTCCATTTGTTTGAGGGCTGATGTACTGAACGAACCCCCAAATAAAAGCAGGTGGTTTTCTCAGGGAGCCCTTCTCCGAATCCTTGACCTACAAATCTAAACCACAAGGCAGTGGGGCGACGTTAGGAGATGCAGTCCTATGGTAGCCGGTAGGTTCATATGCCACTTTTTCCTCAGGATTCTGGAGCCCATGTACACCATTGGTTTGGAATCAGGGTCTCCCAACTCCCCTAGTTGAGTCCTCTATATTCATCAACCTGGTTAAAGCGCCCATGTATACCATTGGTTTGGAATTGTGGTTTTCCAACTCTCCCAGGTGTATCCTCTGCCTACCAACGCGGTTAAGGCTCCAAATCATTCGAACATTTCACATCTGATGAAATGGCATCAGGATTTGATACATTTAACATTCTTTATATCAATTAAAGATTTTACTGGAAATACTTGAATCATTAGGTGAACCTATGTCTTCTGGTAAATAATGTTGGAAATTTAGTTAGGGCTTTATTCATCTGAAACTATTTTCTCACATCAATTTAGATCAGTTGGAATCAGACATTAACATTATTACGACCAATTTTTTTCCACAATGTCGATAATTCCCATTTGAGTTTGTACAATATGTCCATTTTTCTTCTAATTATTATCTGATCACAATACATAATATAGTGACTAGGCCTATTAGAAAACCGATTTATCGCCAAGATTATATGATGGGGAGGACAAATATACTTTCTCTTTCTATGGTGTTCTACACTAGCAGCACAATAACAGGATTAATGATTGAGATTACATTGCTACTAGATCGATATCTTATACATAAACTGGACCACATTATCTAAAATATATCATTCAAAGTCAAATATAGAGAACTAGAGTATAGACTAGGCAATAACCATATTCAACAAAACTACAGATAGTTTACACTCAATGAATCGAAATTATAAATCAATAATAGGAAAGGAAATCTCATTTTGAAGTCAATAAGCTAAATGCCTTTTTATCCACACTCAATGGCTAATCACAATTATTTTCACTAATACGCAATCTCATAAAGATTCATAAGATTTCTAACTGTCCCATTGAACAACAAAATCATGAAATGATGGACATTAGACCACTATTGAAAACCTGGAACAACTAGACGACCGTTTCGTCTTATTGTGGACCTTCGATATCGCGCAAGAACACTCAACCTCGAGACCATTCAGCCAGGATCCAACGGTGTCAATGTCTAACCTCAACTCAATACTGATAAAAAGAGATTAATTCACATAATAATCATAAAAATGATGTATTCATTAAATAACTTTCATTAAGATTACAAGGTTAACGGTTTTGTGTGTGTATGTGTGGTAGATGATAAATTGCACCAAATAATGATTAGACTAGTTGAAATGTTACATAATAAAATGATAATTTTTCTAAAAAATAAGTAATGAGAATTACATAATTTTCTTATTATTTTCATGATCATCAAATCCATGATTGATTGGTTGTAGTTTATTCATCTGAAATATAGATTAGTGTGAAACTGAACAGTTTAATTTTTAATGAGATAGAAAGAATATGAAAAAGGTTGCAGTACAAAGATGTAGGGATCATGAATCGATTGGTGACCGTCATTGAAAACTTGGAAATACTGGATGGCTGTTTCATTCTAGTCTGGCACTCTTCAGCAGTGTATATTCACGATCCTGCATTGCTGAAGGGTTCCATACTAGGACGAAACGGCCGTCCAGTACTTACAGCTTTCCACTCGTCGTCTTACATTCATCCACCACTCTTGATATAAATCTAAACTCAACAATCTCTACAACCCTATACTGATAATTACCATGTGCTCACTAGTGACTAGCTTCGAGTGGTAATTCTCGGAGTTCTAATGAGAAGCTGTGACCAGTGGAGCTAATCCGTGTCTGGTAGAGACAGGTAATCGAAGATGGTCGTGCAATTTTGCGGATTAGTTGACGTTAAGCATAAACACCGTCGGATGCTGGTTCGACAGTATAGAAGTCTCATGTGATTGTTCGTGGATGCGCACTTCTGAAAAGTCATGTACTAGGGCTAGGATACTGCCCGGGTGCCCGAACCGAACCAGGTGGTTTTCTTAGAGGGCCACACTCGAAGCCTTTGACCTAGAAGTCTAATGCACAAGGCAGTGGAGCAATGTTAGACGATGCAGTCCCCATGGTAGCGGGTGATCAACAATAGGTTAATACGCTGTTTTTTCCCTCAAGATACTGGAGCCCATGTGCATCATTGGTTTGGAATGAGGGTTTTCCAACTCCCCTAGGTGGACTCTCCGTATCCACCAACCCAGTTAAAGCGCCAGGTATTCGCTTTTCGTTCTCTCAATTTTGTAAACAACAGTCATGCTGCGGGAAGGCAGTGAATAGGACTTCTGTGGCAGTGGTTGTATGTATGTGACCATGTGAGAGGATTTGGAGAGGGTGAGCTGACTCTCCCCACTCTCAACTGTATCAGGGCATTTGGGGGCTACTAAACAATCTTTAAAATTTAATTATATTTGTAATGACGAGTAGCAACATGGTACTTGTTTGGGGAACACAAAATCAATTACAATCGTGGATATATCAATCAATAAGAAGGAAATACAAACTTTCATAATCCTTAGCTAGTCCGAGTCATTTGTCATGAAATCTCTATTTGTAGTTTTTCGAAGTTATCTCCGTAGTAACTTAGTTTCAAAACAAAATTGCAACGATTTATTTCTTTTTAATACAAAAAAAATGTGTAAGGACTTGAGGGAAAGCTAATTTCTCTTTGTAAAAGTGCCATATACTGTTGCAAAACACCAAAAAAATGTAGATTCCTATTTATCAACACATCACAATTATAATACTTATATCATGAATCAATTACTCATTTAACTCGGTTCATATGTTCGAACCCCGTCATTAGAAATACTTGATGTCACAGTCTGATAGTATCATAATCTCGTCATGCTTGAAATTTAGCTTATAGTAATATACATGCTTCTATGATTATTTATTATTGATTTCGATCGATGAGAATAAATGAACTAATAATATTTAAGTTAAAAGCTCATCATTTTAGATTCAGTTTGGGTATTACTCTAACCCTTCAGTTATTTAATCACCAATCATGAAAGTGCAACAGTTTTTCTTCATATAAACATCACTAAACGTTTCATTGGAGCGCTAGAATGCAGCTGGACGATCTAGACTTCGCAGATGATCCGGCTCTTCTATCGCACACTCAATAAAAAATACAAGAGAAGACGACCAGTTTAGCAGAAGCAGTAGGTTTCAACATACATAAAGGGAAAAGTAAGATTCTCCGGTACAACACAACATGCGCCAATCGAATCACACTTGATGGAGAAGCTTTGGAAGATGTAAAAACCTTTACATATCTGGGTAGCATGATTGATGAGCACGGTGGGTCTAACGCAGAAGTGAAGGCGCAGATCGGCACAACAAGAGCAGCATATCCACAACTGAAGAATATCTGAAACTCAAAACAATTGTCAACCAACACCAAGGTCGGAATTTTCAATACAAATGTCATGACAGTTCCACTTTCGAGAAATGGAGACAGATATGAGAATGAACAACATATGGATAGAACTAGAGAGGAAGGCTCAGGACAGAGTGGGTTGGAGAATGCTGATCGGCGTCCTATGCTCCATTGGAAGTAACAGGCGTAAGTAAGTAAGTAAACTTTTCATTGATTCATTTTACTATGTCCATTCTATCACCATGTGGGTTCTCTTTCTAAAACTACTGACTGTATTTTTTTGCATTTTCGAATTAATGATAGTAATTTACATTTTAGATATAGATTGTAGTTGTTAACTATATATACGGTTGCCTTTTATGACTATAACCTTGTTAAGACTCTATATACCACAGTATATAGAATTACTCATGAAGTTCATTTATAGGTCAATTAAATTAATATAAATTAACGTATTATCATTATGAAACTTACCATCCATATAAGCACCATCAGCAAGAACTAATTGTAAAATACGATCATAATAAATTCGAGTTTTTTCTTCACCTAAAACATTAGTAACAATTTTTTCACTTTCTGTAATTGTTTCATCTTCATCTTCTTGTAATGCCTAATAGTAGAAAATAATTTTTAAGGAAAAAGTTTATATAGAATACTCTGGATAAACGTCATATTTTTGATTAAGATCATGAACTGACTGATGTTAGACCACCATTGAAAACCTGAAAACACTGGACGACCGTTTCATTCTCTTGTATAGACGCCTCAGCAGTACGCATCCACGATCCCGCTCACGGGATTCGAATCCACGGCCTTCGATCTCGCTCGTGAACACTTAACCTCTAGACCACTGAGTCGTCATCCAACAATGTTAACGTCTAACTTCAATCAATCCGCGAATCCCGCGAGCGGAATCGTGGATGTGCAATGCTGAGGAGTTCCACAATAAGACGAATCGGCCGTCCAATGATCACAGGTTTTTAACAGTTGTCTAACATCATTTGGCTTATAATCTCATTCAATAACTTAATAATCTCCACAACCCTATACTGATAAACTTCATGTTGTCAGGTTAACTAAGTTTATCGTAGTCAGTGATTATGGCTATGTTTGACAAGACTATGATTTACGGACAAACTAACAGAATTGAAGATAACAAGTCTTGAATTTTGGGGCAGAATCCATTCATCAATATAGTTAAATAGCATTTTGGCATTATAGCCAGTATTATTCCATAATGAAAATCTTAACTCTAATTCTTCACTTGAACATTTTACTCTCAATCCTAAAAAAAATTACTCCTACTAATTATAAAACTCTTATAGTCTCAGTAAATAAATGAATTTTCTCACGATCACTTTAGCGCTACCCAAAGGTCGTCCATAAATTCAAGATTTATATACTTAGTGGTATTTAAATTCATTTATATACTTAGTGGTATTTAAATTCAGGTACATCCAGCTGACGAGTCCTAAATGGGACGAAATGCACGTCCTGGATTCCACTGTTAGCCTTCAACCATCTTTGCTTATAATCTTACTGGTATTTTTCTAAAAAAAATAATTCGTCGAAGTCATATCTCAAGGGCTTTTGTTTTATATTTCTCATCATAATTACATCTAGTGTTTTAGGGTTGCCCTCACTTGGAATCCTCAAGGCCGAAGGAAAAGAGGACGACCAAAGAACACATTACGTCGAGGAATGGAGGCAGATATGAGAAGAATGAACAAAAATTGTATAGAACTAGAAAGGAAGGCCTAGGACAGGGTGAGTTGGAGAATGTTGGTTGGCAGCCTATGCTCCATTGGGAGGAACAGGCGTAAGTAAGGAAGTAAGTTTTAGGGCTACCAATCGCAGTTTACATTGACTCATGAAACATTTGTCTAAGTCCTATTGGTTACATCATATCCGTACCTTGACCAGTTGGTACGAATGACGTAATTGAGAGTATCAGGAAAGAATTGATATTTATTAACCATTGAAGAATAATCAATATTATGTTTGTTTAGTCCTTAGTGTTAATCCGATTATTTTGATCAAATTGCAATAAAGCCACTAGCTGAAATGGTTTGACATTACATGCTGCAATTTGTGGTGTTCATTGTTCGGAGGTAGTCAGTAAGAATCCGTAAACGAAGATTTGGTGCTAGTTACCACACGCCAGCATATGTAATATTGAGGAAACTGATACTGCTTGTGGGAGCAAACGCATTTAATGAACACTAAGAATTAAACAAAGGTGATACAAATTAGTACTGAATTTCCAGCTAACTGTTAACATCTCAACCATAATGGCATCTAGTCTTGGAGTGATTCACTAAAAAACTAAGTGTCACATGGGAAAAATCAGTTTCTTTAAGATTACTGGTTCTATGCTTAAAAGTGGCAACTAGCATAAGACATATGCCCAATGTTACCTTCCAACTAACTTCAACAACTAAATCTATACATCAATCTTCAAAAAGTGGAATAATCACTGAAAATTTTGGGAATAGTTAAGGAAATAATCTTACCTGAATAACATTGTAAGCTTTAATCAATAATTCAAAGCCTAATTCTTCTTCTAAATCAGCTCTCATTTGTTCTAAACGAAGAAATTGTGTATCGCCTAATTGATTGTTGTTGATTGTTGGTTTTATGATACTGTTATTGTGTAATCTATCATTGTGGTAATCATTATCTTCATTCTTTTGGTAGACTTTATTCATTTTTCGTTTATGTGAATTTTTCGATACATTACTTATGAATGAATTATCACTGAAACTATCAGTTTCACTGGAATCATCTAAAACACTGTCAGTATCATTGTCGTCATCACTAAGGCTTCCATCATCATCATCATCATCATCTCATCATCCTCATCAACATCTTGACTAATTTCAAAATCTGATTCGTTCACTTCTGTAACTCGAGCTAAACGACTACCATGAACTGTTTTACAAATATTAATAAATGATTCTTGACATACATTATTCAATGTTTCTTTATGATTTTGTTTTATGTTTACTCCTGTTGTTATATCATGAACACCATGATCATCATCATCATCATTATCATCATCTTCTAATTCTTCTGTAATTTCATCATCTGTATTCTTTTCATCCATCATATGAATCTCATCTTTTGTTGTATTCGTTGTACATCCAATGGAAACATTATCTAATCGACTAAGAAAATTACGTAATTGACCACTACTTGATGTTATATCTTCAGGATGATTTAAATTATCATTATGATCATCATATTTATTAGTTACATCATCAAGAGTATGATTTTTATGTGATTGTCTGAAAACTGAATTCATTTCAGTATAACTATTATATGAGGTTTCTTCAGTTTGTTGTTCAATTTTACTAATTCGTTGAATAGGAAGGTTGATTGACACTTTAAATACAGTTTGAATAGTGTATAATAATAAGAAACAAATACATACAGAGTAATAGGATCAGTGATAGTAAACAATAATAAGAATAGAGAAATCTATTTTAGGAATCAAAGTTACAAGACCAACTCAAAACCTCGGTATCCAGTGACTCCAATAATAAGCAGAGATTATGGTATTATTATTATTATTTGAACACATATATATTGGTACAGGAGTGCGCCAAATATATATGCGCCACAGAATTTCAGTTCATTAATTGCGTGTGGGCTGCGATACTGCCCGGGTGCCCAGACCGATGCAGGTGGTTATCTTAGGGGGCCACACCCCGAGCCTTTGACCTTAAGGTCTAACCCACAAGGCAGTTGAGCAGCCTAAGGAGATGCAGTCCCATGGTAGCCGGTGACCAACAATTGGTTCATACGCCATTTGTTCCCGCAGGATACTAAAGCCCATGTGCACCATTGATTTGGTTTGGGATCCGGTTAAAGCGCCGGACATTCGCTTTTCGTCCTCTCATTTTTGTAAACAACACCCCCGCCACGAGAAGGCAATGAGTAGGACTTCCCTGGCAGAGGCTGTATACGCGCGGCCGTGTGAGAGTATTTCGAGAGGGAGGGCGAACCCACCCCGCTCTCGGCCATAACAGGGCATTTGGTAGTTAGTAGTGGAATCCAGGACACACGTTTTGTCCTATTCAGAACTCACATAAGTGGGTGTACCTACATCACTGCTTATCATGCTTGTGAATTAAGGCAATATCTTGGCAATCCTCACAGGATGCACATATATCAATATGAGACTGATCAAATTACATTTCTAAATACTTTTAGGGAGATTCAAGTGGAGTAACAACAATTTGCCACATAACACTTGGGTATAACATAATCAACGCAGGTTCGTAGTAAGAAAATAGATCTTCAGCAAATCATACTATAAGAATCTTTTAAGATCTAATTGTTGGAGCGATCCAGAAAACTTTTCGCAAAGGATAAGAAAGACTCACGAAACACTAAGAAACATTTCATCCAATTAGCGTTCACTTGAAGTTTTAGCTAGAAACATCAAGAAAGTGAAAAGTGAAATGTGGAGTTTCTGATTGGATGATTACTACACTGCTACTATGTTTAGTAGAATTCCAGAATTTTCGAGAAAACCAAGGTCATCTAAAATACTATAAAAACATTATATTTTCTGTACTAAAACGAACCTTTGAAGTAAAGTGCTTCTCGCATATTTTGCGCCTTTTCTCTTGTGTTCAGGTCGCTGTGTAGTTCTAGCTTGAGGGTTACGAGAATAGCTTAGGAACCGAATATAGCGTTCAATTAGCAAGACTGATCACTAATATCATGCCTATGGGATATGTATTTAATTGTTTAGTGAATAACGGGAGAAATTTATAAGCTTCGAGTGAACCTATAAACTTCCATTGTTTGTTCTATAATTCCTTAGTTATTCATAACGAATCACGTACTGTTTGTTCTACCCTGTACTATTTATGATATAGTTGTTTTCAAAGTATGGTTTTCTATTTGGTACGGTATTTAGCCAAGCATCTTAATTATATTACTGTCGACTTTGAGTATTCATCAGATTGAGTACAATAGAGAACTATTCTGCTTCCTATCTGCATCTTCTACAAGGAGGCACCAAATACATATGCGCCACACAGATCTCATTTGATATGTGTGAGGGCTGTGATACTGCCCAGGTGCCCAACTCGAACCAGGTGGTTTTCTTAAGGGATCACACTCGGAGATTTCGATCTAAAGGTCTGATCCATAAGGCAGTGGAGAAACGTAAGGAGATGCAGTCCCCATGGTAGCCGGTGACCAACGATTGGTTCATATGCCATTTTTTCCTTCAGGATCCTGGAGCCCATGTGCATCATTGGTTTGGAATGAGGGTTTTCCAACTCCCCTAGGTGGACTCTCCGTATCCACCAAACCAGTTAAAGCGCCAGGTATTCACTTTTCTTCCTCTCAATTTCGCAAACAACAGTGATGCTGCGAGAAGGCAGTGAATAGGACTTCTGTGGCAGTGGTTGTATGCATGTGACCATGTGAGAGCGTTTGGAGAGGGTGAGATGACTCCCCACTCTCAACTGTACCAGGGCATCTTCTAACTGGTCACTGGATTGGAATAAGCTTTAAGACTATTAAATATCAAGATCTTAGTTTGCAAATTACAAATTCACTGATCCTACTGACACTACAGATGAACTAATTGATAATCCTTATCTTGACACGTAATATCGATTATCGATCATAAACTATGAAACAAACTGACAATCACAAAACATAACATACTGTATTATCTAAATGATAGTAACTATGAAATGAAATAAATTCATTAGTCACTTGGAATTACATCCATTACTCAATTATAATTGATACATACCTGATCGTTTTCTGTGATTATTTAAATGATCATTAAATGATTTTTGTTTATTTAATAGTTTTATATCAATTTCTGATATTGTTGAATGATTTGAATAAATATCATCCATATTATCGGATAATAAAGCAACATCATTAGAATCATTTGTATTTGAAGTTAATATAACTTGTAACATACTTTGACGTACTAATTCAATATCTTGTTCATCATCTTCTATATCTAGTTCTTCTTTCAATTGTTCATTAATTATTGTTGGACTATTGTTGTTATCGATGTTGTTGTTTATCACTGGTTTTTCATTGACATTCCAACAATTGATTTCATCATCTGCCTGATGATTTTTCTGATAAACATCCATGCTACTAACAAAATATAAGTAACACAGATGTGTTTTAGTAAAATAATTATGAGTAGTTTCTTTTTTTTATCTGATGTATGGAAAAATAATTACTAACGGGAAACATGTTGAATTTTTATGGCATTGAATGTAGTTGAGTACCATTAACAAATCCATAAACGACCATGATGGAACAAAATATTAATCTAATACTTAGTCTGTAACTGATGAAAAACTACATTCAATAGGTGATGGGCGGTAATATCATAGCGAAAGATAGTTGAAATTTTGACAAAAGCTATTGGTCTGTGGTTGTATTCACATCTAATTCAGTTAGTATGTCAATAAATGAATCATGCTTTTCATCGGGACAGTAACTTAAAGTACAACTTTTTATAGGTAAGTAATATAATATATAATATACCGTTATGGGCCAGGGTAATTTTACATTGGTTTTTAGGAGAACCAGACACCATCCATACTTTCACATGACAACCCAAACAGTACAGTTCAATCTCGTTTAACAGGAGAGCCAGTCACCGCCTAAGCTTTAACGCTACAATCTGAATAGTACAGCTCAATCCTGTGGTGCAACCACACAGGTACCAAGCACCCTGGTGGATCATTCGCACCATTCATATATACATCCACATCGTGTATAATTATTCTGATCAATGATCGCGTGAACCAATTATACACAGCACGAACACGCCAAAGTTGACCTATTCCGCCAACGCGACAGTCAAACTCATTAATTTTAGCAATGGCGACATGCCCTACAATGTCTCAACAACAATGGCCCTTGAGAACACTGAAAAGCAAAAACCAGTATGAATGAAATAGGTTAACCAGCAAACCAATTTCGCGCATGAACAGTCAACAAAACTTGCCAAAGTAATGCCGAACTACCCACATAATCAACGGCGAACCTCTAGTCTCATATGAGACCTTCAGCTCTATATAGCAATATAGCTTTTACTGTATAGAATACATATGTAGGGTAGTAAACGAAATAGCCCAGTCTGAAGTGTTAGGGCTTAAACAACGCTTAAAACCCATACTATTACAAAACCACCAAGATCGTTTTTATCTCATTTGCGAAATTCTAACTGGGAGACCAATGAGTTAGGAGTAGTATCCATATATAACATGGCAAGTAAGAGCAGATGTAAATCGTCAAGCACAAATCTTAATGTGCGTGTACATATTATATATCACTAAATAGTACTCAATTAGATAAGTAACATAAAGAAAACCCCATTGAAAAAAAAATAATAATCCGTTTAAAAGTTATGAAGGAAAATGTGACCCGAAAAATTCCCATATAAAATCCGTGCAGCAAAATTCAATAGAAATGCCCAAGACAAAGAATTTCGTGAACACACTTTTGACCATAACTTTTGAATGGCTCAACTGATTTCGTTCACTCATTTCGTATTCAATTTCTCTTGCAAATATCTATTTGACAACTTATAAAACATTGCTATACATTGGCTGGGGAAAATGTTTTGGTCAAAAAACTGAAATTCTCTTGAACTTTCTATAGAAAAATAAGGAATTTGGACATTTTTTTTTATTTTCACAGATTG